TTTAATAATTTTTTACTATTTAATAAAATATATTTTTATTAATTATATTTTTAAGTTTTATATAAATTTAATAAAAGCTTTTAAATAATAATTTTTTTTAAAATAAAATTTTAAATATTAAATAAGTTTTAAAAAAGTATTATTATTTAATTTTATATATTTATTTTAATAAAAAAGTTAATAAATTATTAAATTATTATAAAAAATTAAAAAACTTTTTTTATTATTTTTACTATTTTAATAATAAAACTATTTTAATTAACTAAATTAAAATTATTTTAATAAACTAAATTAAAATAATTTTAATAAATTATTGAAAAAATTTATTATTAATTAAATAATTAATATATTATTATATTATATTTAAGTTTATAATATTTTTAAAAAAAATTATTAATTATATAAATATTTTAATTTACATATTATAAAAAATAACCCATTTGATAATGAATTATAAATTAATCTCAAAATTTCAACAGGTCTTTAATATTCTTTATCAATACAGAAATCATTTCTTCATTTGCAGCCTCAATTCAGCTAGAAAAGAGACCTACAAGATTCAATTTGAAACTATTCGAATTGGTTTCCCCTTTGATGACTTTTGGCATGGGGCATTTATTACTCTGACCTGTTTTAACATTCCGATTTGACCAATTTGGTCAATCTTGATGGCAATGAATAGGAGCCTGATATAACAAACCATGAGCAGTTTCGCTTCCGCTTTTTCTTTTGTGGACTTCTCCGAGAACCAATAAAAACAAAATCAATTAGCTACCCCTTTCTACATCCTGCACTGCCTATACAATCCATTTGAAGGCGACATCAGAACACTTTCAAGCTGCAACATTTGATTGTATCCTCTGGATTTGTTGTTCGTTTGGTCCAGAATATTGCAGTTCCAGATCGAGGCCGATTTGTCCAGAACAGGAATATCCCTTGATGCGATTAATTCTTTCAGACTGTTTTGGCAATTTTGACACAATGCCCTCATCTGAGATTCAACAAGCGTCTCTTCTCACGGGTCGGAATTGAAGAATGGCGCCACAGTTGGCATCTTTTTCTATATTTGTCTTTTAAACGTCTTTCTTTCTTCATTTATTCGTACACAATTCGTTTTCTCCGCTTTTCAGCAATCTGCTTTGTTCTGTCCTTCGAACTCTAAGTAATCTATTCATTATACCCACGACTCTTTGTTTGTCCCTGTTTTCATCTCCTGTTTTTTTCTTTCTCTTTAACTTCTCTAGGAACTCTACCAAGATCCATGAGGAACCGTTATATATGATTGTGGGGTTTTTTTGAATTGGCAAACAAACCGATTCCTCCCCAGTTGTTTTGAACGAAGACATTGAAGAAAGGAAAGGCGTCGAGGGTCCCGTTTTGCAGCGGACAGTGGGATTGTGCAAGCACGGTAGAATGTTGATATCCTGGAATTATTTTTGATGGGACACAGGTTTTGTTATTATATATACATAATACAGTTCCCCAATTCACCGGCTTCAGGATTGACGCAATTATCTCGCATGTCTGCGAATAATGATCAAAGCACTGGAATTACTGTCCTTCGCACACCACACGCTGCCCTATATCGAATGCATTACCTTTATATACCTCGCAGGAAAAAAGCGACTTGACGGAGAACCCCTCAAAAGCCCTCCCCCGTTCCCAGTTCATTCAAAAGCAGAGAATCCCACCCGCTTCTGACCATCTGATATCGTACTATAACAGTCACGTTACATATAGTATATAAGATAGAAACACACCAAAACCAAAATCAAAGAAAAAACCATGTGTCGCCAACTCTACAATCAGCATTCTTGCGGCCACACATCATTTATTCGGACAAAAACTTGCGGGAAGAAGCAGTTCTGTCCGAGAATCTCAAGGGAAACGAACAACTTAAACTATATTTGTGAACGATGCGCTGCTACCATTCTAATGAACATGAAGAGAGACTTGAACAGCCGCACCAGTTACCCGTCGAGTAGTGGGAGCATGAGGGTCACGGGTAGTTCAAGGCGGAGATGAACATAGGTGGCAATTCAGGCGGATACTGTTTTTCTTTCCTTTTCCTTTTCCCTTCTCCTCAAATACTGGCATTTCTTGGGGGATGATTGCTGAGTTGTACCCACAATTTGCTGTGGTTGCAAAGGGGCTTTCTTGGTTTGTGATTGATGGGATAACAGAACCATGCATCATGTACAATATATACTTTACATAGCCTCTGTAAAATAGGATAATACTAGAGAGAAGACCTATGAAACATTAGCATTTTGAATGAACATATAAATAGATACTCTGTATGTACTTTTAAGTTGGGCGTGGCCTTGTGCTTTGTTTAAGCAAGCCCCTGAATGAAATTAATGGGAGTTTCAACCTTCACACTTAACCGAATCCATTGCCAAACTACAAATATAATTCTTAGAACTAAGCTATCCCTCACGTTGCGACAATAGTTAAGAAGTCGGTGGGAACATTCTCAGCCTGTCCAATATACGGGACTCGAGACAGGCCTTGGTGGTTTGATGTGGCAAGTGGAGACTTTGGTGTCCTCGGACCCCGGAATTTCTCTTGGAACACCATGGTCATCTGGTTTGAGTATCTCTCGAAGCAATAAGTGATAAGGTTTCCGATGTTGGCTAAATTCATGAGGCCGCATGTGAGAACTTTTGCAAGATATTCTCTATGGTCCTAAGAAGTGAGATCAAGGGGCGCTCTCACATCCATCCGATTGTCATAATCAAGTGGTTTAAAACTGTTACCAACCAGGTTTTCCAGATATCTTCGTGTCCAAGACCACCCGATTCCCGAGGTGGACATTTTTTCTCATTACTAAGAAGGCTTGTAGGATGGCTGTTCTATGTTGATGCGCCTGGATACGGCAAGCGATGTATTTCCAAATCCAGAGCTGCAAGTTAGATCGATTGGAGCGCAAATGTGAGAAAGCGCGAGCCATAGAAATAACAGCTCCAAGTGAATATTAATCCTGCGAGAAAAGACCCATATTGGGTTCTCATGTAATAGTTTCAGCTGTTGAATTCCGCACCTGCAATCCTGCTAGATGCATGGAATGCTCATCGCTCCATTCTAGCTTCAAGTAGTCAATGTCTGCAAGAGCTCGGTAGTTAGCTAAATGATGCTGCTTTTATACAGTGACACCTGCCAGGCAGCGCGCCGGCCTAGAGATAGTTAGTGCGTGTCCATGCTGATTAGATCCGGAGAAGTAAGACCCAATGGAAGTAACTCTATCAAGGCACATCTCGGGATTAATGTTCATGCAGGATGGGGATTATGACAACCCGACCCTTGAATTCCAAATAAACTTGACATGGACTAAGAGTAGATCTTATTTCGTAAGACCAACCAATGGTTTGGAATATGAATATTCCATCTTCAGCACTGTGTGTTATCCCGCTTTCTTTCCCTTGTCATTGAGGAGGAGCAGATTCAGCATAAGGAAGAGGAAATAGGACCACACGAAAATCTCAGCCACAGTTGCGCTGACGGCTTTAGTTATGTCGTTGAGCTGGCTTGCAAAGTCCAAAGCCCGAAGGGTTCGATCAAAGCCCAAGCTTCGATGAGGCGTCCCCGACGGGCGCAGGGGAATAGCCAAACAAAGGATGGACACGTTTGATGGCAGACGCGCATCGTAAAACAATCTATTTTAACAATTGAACACCAAACAGCAGCAACGACATAGGTGCCAAATTCCAATCCAACGCCAATAAAGCCCAGGACGAAGCTTCAAGAGTTCAAGGCAGAAGCATTTTTGGACGACCAACATCTTAGCAGCACCCTAACCCGGACAGACAACGCATTGTGATTGACTGGGTTGAATGGTACGCAAGCCGACGAGGCTTGTTTGTCCATATCTGGGGGTTATGGCATGCAGCTGTGGTTGCATGTCGGGTTCGGATGATGTTCGAATCTAATTTCCGTATTCAGGGTTGCAAGCTTTGGTCCAAGGTGTTCGCAACAGGAACTCGTCTTGTATGTAACGGTATGCACGGTATTGTCTCGAAATATATTACATGTACTTACCGTACAGTATGAAAATCAGGATTGCAGCGGGCGGTAACTTTCAGCATAGGCTTTTTCTCGATCTATGCCCTACTACTCTGTGGTGATTAGTCGAATGCTCAATTTTTGAAGCGGTGTTTGATGCATATCTCTGATAGAGGCTACAGGGCCGGCATTTTCATATGCGACGTTCTAATATTTTCAAATCGAATGCAACTGCTCTTCATTAGAGGTGTCGAGGTGCCATGCCACCTCTGGTTATTTACATTTTCTAAGATATCCTGCCTGGTTGTCTAAGTTGAGGAGATCATCATGGCCAAGCATAAACGTATCGAAAACAATCGAGAAACATGAATATGCTTGTGCAGAAGTCTAGTTTCTGTTGAACTTTGACTTTGAAGGTCATCATCAAGTGAGAAGAAATCCACAGAAGAAGATGTTCTTTGTTTTAGATGCTGTTGAAATTTGGTCCTGATTCCTCCGGCTGAAAATTGACACCACTTCAGGAAATCAATCCACATCATTTGCAAATTTGAAATAACCCAAGAACTGAAGCAATCATTGTGACTTCAAGTTTTGGGGAAAAACACTGAGGGCCATACCGGGGCCAGCTGGGCTGCTATGAACGTGAAAAGTTCTTATGAGTTAAGGCAGCTCAAAGCGCCTCTTCCAAGACACCCATCACCTTCTGTCTTTCTATCCCTATGGGCGTCAAAGCCAACTGCAAGCTTCAAAGTTACCCAGCACAAATTTGGAGAGTTGTAACATTTACAACCTGCCCTCCGCCGCACCAGGGAGCATCACACGATCTTTCTGGCGGCTTGGCATCAGGAACACATTTACCCGTCACTCCTTTCTCAACCCAAGTGATTCCTCGAGGCAGAATGTCCCCAGCATTGCAGTCCGTGAGGACGAAGTGTCCAATGGCTTCCCATCCAAACGATTTTCCGCATGGTGACCTCAGTGCCGTTGGTCCCAGATCTCTCCAGTCCAGACACGGATCCCCACTTTGCAGCCAGACGTACCAATCGTACTTGTACTGGTTGTTTTTGCATGTCGTTGCTCTTCCAAAGTACATCGTTGGCACTGACTGCGCGTAGGCACTTCCGGCTAGCAAAGGCAAGCTAAGAATGCTTGTGAGAAGTCTGGCGGCGAAGTTGATCTGCGCGAAGCGCATTGTGTCTGGTGTATATTGAGCTGGTTATGTGTATCGTTCTGGCTGAGTACCCTTTGGGTGTCAGTGTCAACCGGGAAACTTCGTAGGTCGTAGCTGAAATGATTTCTCACGACACAAACGGTACATACAAGTTAGAAGCAGTCAAAGCCTATTATTCTTCTCATTCGAACCCGCTGGGCCCAAAGGTGTCCAAGGCATAGGCGAAGGGAATCCGGTTTCTCGTATCGAATAAGGAGACCACGGCATCCTTATATGCCTGCTCATTCCACCCATGAAAGAGTGAGAAATTGTCACGAGGTTAAAATTCTAGGAAAGGCAGGCCATGGATTCTTCAAAACAAAAACCTTCCCCCCGCATATTTTCACCGTTGAGACTTCTCCATCCTTGCCGGTGGCCAGGATACGATACGATAGCGCGGTGGCCAATGCGCCGCGATTCAAGCTCAACCACATTGCACATTATCGGTCCTTGGAAATGCCATCTGCTATGTAGTAGCTATTCTGACGAAATACATATGAACACACAGAGGCATATGGCTAATTTGTGTGTGCTCTGTGCTGAGAATATGCTGAGGATTGCATACCTGCAACTTCAGTTTGCAAAGGTATTTTCACAGGCTGCAAACGTTTTCCTTCTTGGAGTGAGCGATCTCACCTAAGGATCCTTAATACCAACAAGAAACTGGCATCGAAACAATACCACATGCCACGATGAGCTAACTGTCAGGTAGCAGAAATACAAATTTAAGCAAGGTGCATGGAGAGAGCAGCTTGACGGAAATAAGATAAATCGCTGTTCACTGCGGATTTCTGCTCTGTGTCACAGAATTTGAATTTGATTCTAGGTACCCTCTTGACTTGGTTATCTGCGAAGTCTGTAACTCATACCAAACATCACACCACATTGGATCGTAGTCTAGCATACAAGACTCAAATGCAACACGAATCAGGAGCCATATAAAGTCGTATTCCAACAAATTGCAAGGCCAATAGTAATTCCGGAACCAACTGCACTTTGGAGAAGTTTCAAAAACCAGGCCTGGATCAGGTATGATGTTTCTACCACGAAATACACTGTTTAGAACAAATATGCACTCGCATCACTTGTGGGTGCCGATACAAGACGTCGAAATGCAAAAATCGTTCTTCGATCCATGGAGCGCTGCTGCTGCTACTAAATCAGGAGGAGCACACACTCGAAACAAGAGTCGTCAGGGACATGCAGATTGTCAACAGTGTCTTCACGGTAGACTCGTGCAGAGGACATCAACAACGGCTTTGTTCCTCTCAATAATTTTGTTCGATTGCTCTTCTGGCAGAGTTCGACAAACACAAAACTTGATCCAGTTCATCAACTATCTATCTAGGTAAGCCGCTGTGGGTCGCCAGCTAGTGGCCGAATCGTGGGGCACCAGAAGTGATGGATAAACGCCGACCGAAACTCGGTCATTAGATTAATTACCAATCCTTATTTTGCAAGAGGTGTTTTCAAAAATAAAGGAAAATAAAAGTAGCGCAAGGAGGTGAATCATAAGAAATCGCAGCGAGTTTCATCGAGTAAAACGGAATGAACCCCTCCAGCCCTCCCCTGAATATACAGTATGTAAGTAAGTCATCATTCTGCGCTGCTTCCATCTCCTCGCATTCAGCCCTGACTGGCGCGAGTCCAACAAGGACTCAAAGTCTTCCCGTCAGCTTTTGGGCTGCGCACGAGAAGTAAACTCACATCCGCCGGCCTTACATATATTTTTATATATATATATATATATATATATATATAAATGTATATATAAATATATACAAATATGTGTATTCGGCAGTTCGGGAAGTTCGGCTGGGCAAGATCCCGATTCCGATGACTAATGCCGAGAAGCCTGACGGGTCCCGTGACTCAAGGCGGGTTGGGGGCTGGGTCTGCATCGGGAAATAGCGTACGCCCGTGACTTTTGGCCGGGTCAAAGGGACCGTTACGGCATCCAATAGCCACGTATTAAAAACCACCTGGTTGGAACTCTTCTGGCTCCGCGATTTGTCGCAACAAGGAGAAATACGAACGAACTTCCGTGAAGGCTTAAGAGATCGCTTACGTATCATCCCGAATTCGCTTTGACTCACGCATTGCAAGCCCCCATCTCGGATTTTTTGACAGGACAACAACTGTGTATACGTTGCCAGCAGGTTGTTTCGACTAACGTTCCCGGACTGTTGATCATCATGGCGTCGTCACACGGAGATCTCTCCCATCTTTTAACGCCCACTTTCAGCCAGACGATCTCTGCTTGGCTGCAGGAGGACTGTCCTAGCTTTGACTATGGTGGCTTCGTCGTTGGGGAAGCCGAGGGTGAAGCCAGGCTTCTGGGGAAGAGTAAGGTAAGAAACGAATTTGCCTCGCTAGCGGAGATTTTGTGGAGAAGCCAATACAAGTGCCCCCCCCCCCCATTGTGTACCATGTCTCAGAATCGATAAATGACGTTGTTTTATGGTATCCCTCTTCAATCCAAGAGAGAAAACGAAAACAAAAGGGGCGGGTTGGTAAAGTGGTAAAGAGAAGCGTTGTTGTTTTCTGCATGAAGCAACACATTTTTTATAGCTTTCAAGCCAATTGAATGCTGTATCGATGCTCTGTACTAGAAATTTTGGTGATCGAATGACATGGCTGATGTTGGTTGGTCATTGGTTAACCCTTAACTTTCCTGCAGCTTGAGCAAATTGAATTGGCACCATGGTCCAAAAGCTACTATGACTGACCAAAACATTATGGTGTATTTTTGCTTGTATTGATATTCGCTTTGTGCTCTCGCATATACCTTGAGTCTGCTTTGGCAGTTTACTGATTTGGCTTCTTCAACACTCTAGGGAATGGTGGCAGGAGTACCCTTTTTCAATGAAGTGTTTTCACAGCTAGGCTGCACGTATGGTAATCCCTAATGAAGTTATCTCTGAAAAGCAAAAGAGACCCAACCTAACCACTTCGGACTATTGTTTATCCAGTGTTGAATGGAACGTCAACGAGGGCGACAGGATCGAACCGATCACTGTCTGTGCAATTGTTCGAGGCCCAATGCGGCAAATCCTTCTGGGTGAACGAGTTGCTCTGAATCTTCTCGCACGATGCTCGGGAATTGCCACGAAGTAAGTCATCCACCAGGCCAAAATTGTACTCTTAAACTAACCAAGCAATCCAGAACAGCAAACCTTGTCAACATCATCCGCTCCCATAACTGGAATGGAATCATCGCCGGCACGCGAAAAACGACCCCTGGCTTCCGCCTCGTGGAGAAATATGGCATGCTCGTTGGTGGCGCGGACCCGCACCGCCACGACCTCAGCTCCATGACCATGCTCAAGGACAACCACATCTGGGCATGCCACAACAAAAGCCAGCCCCAGGGCTCCTCGACTCAATCGACAAAGGCACCGACAATTGCTCAAGCCATCCCCGCCGCTGTCGCCGCCGCACGCGCCGTTGGGGGCTTCTCCACAAAAGTCGAAGTGGAATGCCGCACCATCGACGAAGCTCATGCTGCCATTGCTGCTGGTGCGAATGTAATCATGCTCGATAACTTCTCTGCTGCGGAAGTGGCTGGGGCCGCGAAGAAGTTGAAGGATGAATGGACCGCCAAAGGGAAGCCGCGGGGCTCCTTTTTGGTTGAGGTCAGTGGTGGGTTGAACGAGCAGAATGCGGCTTCGTTTGCGGCAGAAGATGTGGATATTTTATCCACTAGCAGCATTCACCAGGGGGTGGGAATCGTCGACTTTTCGTTGAAGGTTTCTTTGAGGTAAGTTGGTGGGTTGGTAGGCTGGTAGGAAGACCGGCAGGCGGTGATGTATATAGATCATAGAGTACGGTTTGTTTGCGCTTCCATTCGTTTTAATCTTTTGTCACTCATGGGCTTGTCTGTGTCAGGAGCTCATGTCATCCGTTGTTGCTATAACGTATTCGAAAGTATATGACTATCTCAGGAACAATAGATGTCGCTTGCGATCATTGTATAGTCTGCACTGTGAAGTATTGTATATAGAACTGTACTGTCTCCAACAACGCTGAAATACTGCGGATGACAATATTTTCCAGGATATTCGAATAGAAACGTTGATAATCGTGTGCAATAACTGATGTTGAGAAATGTTGCTTTTTCATATTTACGACACGATCGACTTCCCAAAAATTAGCTAGTAGTCAAATATTTCGATAGAGGAAGTGACAAAGAGAAATTCTATTTTAAATACATGTACAGGCGAATATAAAAACCATGTGCCTTGGTTGTATGAAAGCCCCCCCTTAACAGCCACGGAAAAGCCAAAAGCAAATTCCTGAATAGGATAAGGGAATAGAATGGAAAGAATACGATGAGAGAGAAAGACATATGTATCCCAGAAATAAATATAGCCAAGGAGAATTAAATTCAAGTAAAATAAATAGAACAAACGACAAGGGGGAATACCTTTAGAAAATAGTATAGACAATGGAATGATCTGGTCAAACCAACGGCAAGAGAGGGTAGTAGACATATTAAGAGTCTAATTAAGGTGGAAAATATTCACAGGGGAAGATAGGAAAATAGCAACAAATGGAATATAGCATGTCTTCCCTGGCCAAGACATAGATGGAGAAAAAAGGAAAAGATGCAGCACGAAAATCTTCAACATCACAAATATATATCAGTGCATATAGAGAGAGAGCTAGGACTTGAGAATAGTGAGCCGTTTTAAAAGGAATAAAGAGGAATGAATACAAACGCGGAGGTGATGGCTATGGATTATGAGCACAGGGTCAACACCCCAAAAAGAAACGAAAAAAATGTCACCGGAGATAACCAGGGGGTTCGGGGGGAAATTAATATTGATTTTTTCTTAAAAAAAGAGGGGTGGGGGGGAGAAACCAAAAAAATAATCTGATGTGAATATGGACGAATAAAGAAAATAAGGATACAGAAAACCGAGAGGTAATCGGTTGAAATGTGAGAGAAGGCCAAAATGGAAAAACACTGTCTCGGAAGAGCTCCAAACTCGAGACCAAGAAATAATGTTGCCCGGGCTGTTTGTTACTTGAAGAAGTGATTGTTGAATGAAAAAGAGGGTCAAGGTTTCCAGCAGAAAATCTGCCTCCACCAGGATTTCGGGGTGCTTCCAGGCTCATTTTCGTCGTTTTCGCGGTCTTCTGATTTCATGGACTTGGCCAGGTCTTCTTCCTTTCTTCCAGATTGCGGTGGGTTATTCTCGTCATCAAATACCTTGCCAGGGATGGCACTGGATGGCGCTATATTGCTATGGCGCTGGTTTGTGGTATCCCGGCTTTTCATCTTCCTGACACGTTTTGAAATTGCTCTGCTAATGCCTTTCCACTGGCTTGACCTGTGTGAGGAGCGCTCCGTTGCTTCGTTGATAAAATTATGGTCAGCGAACCCCTTCTCTGTAGCTGTGAGAGCTGGTGTTCGTAAATGTGAATCCGCCTGCGATACCACAATTAGGTCGGGAGAGAATAGGGCTTGAGATGGAGAATGCGCCGCTAGAGATAAATTGCCAATTGCCTTGGGGTGTGGGGTTGGAAATTGTTGTAGGTAATGGCGATGCCGCGCTTCCACCACACGGCGAACGATTACTGGCAATAAGTTAACGTTTAGTCAATATCAGTGAGGAGAGATAAAGGACGAAATATATGTGCTCCGTTAAGCGTCGCAGAACTCGAGGATTATTATTATCGCAAATTCAACGCCCATTCGCGATAGTGCAGACAGGATCAAAAATGGGATAAGAGGGAACTTACAGGAAAAAGTCTCCTCTATGTTAACCATTTCCCTTGCACTCGTTTCCATAAAACCACAACCTCTTTTCCTAGCATACTCTAGGCCCTGAGTCGCACTGACTACCCGTTCGTCCTTCAAATCGCATTTATTTCCAGCCATAAACCTGACAGGTGGAGCCATTCCGACAGCAACGTTCTCTCCTTGCTGGCTGGAGTAGCCCAATTCCCGGATCAAACGCGCATTGGTTTCCAACCGCTGTTCTACTTCAATGTCAATCATATCCATGAAATAATCCAAAGCCTCCAACGTAGAGGAATTTGTAATATCATAGACCAGGAGGAACGCATCGGATTTGAGGTTCGCCGACGCCCACAGGCCACGATATTCCTCCTGGCCAGCGGTGTCTGTTAAAGCAAGTAAGTATGGCAGGCCGTCGACAATCCGAGTAACGGAGTATGAATCCTCTGGGAGTATCCATGAGCATAAAATAAGCAAACTGTCGGGAGGGCCATTGAGGGGATTTCGCGTTGTTATCGCAAGATCATTTTGAACGCGAACCACGCTTCAGAAACAAAAGGGACATGACGACGGATGATGTGGGTAAGGAAATTGAGGGCATACCGATTGTAGGGTCATATCTAGATAGTGCCAACTACGATCAGCAAGCACTCTTTGAAATATGTGTGTGAAGCATGATAAGCTGAGAATCAAACTTACTCATGTGTCCATTGGCTTCGCACCAATCGCAGCGTGATCGATGACTTTCCTATATCGCATAGTAAAACGAAACAATTAGCAATCATCCCCTAACCGGCGTAAATCGAGAAACTAATTGTAACTAATGTCTCATTCTTGCACAGATCTCTTCTGGCAAAACTCAGTCACCTCGAGAACTCTCAGTCAATACAAGAATGCGAGGCGAGGGAAAACACTAATAAAATTGGCGAATATAGCGGTTTCTCCCAGTAAATGGCTCCTCGAACGTACCACATCCGCCATCACCACAGATTGTAATGGACACCGTCTCCGCCATTAGTTTGCAAAGCAGAAACAGGACAAAATTCGACCTGCGCTAGCAAACTCGGAAGACGGCGTCCCCCACTATCCTCGTGTTTGTCACTATCGCAACTCGCGATATCTGCCGGTTCCCGGAGCGAGGATATGTCGAAGTCGCGTCTGATAATCGACGTACTCGACGCAGGAAGCCAATGCGATGCGACGCCAATTCTTGCAGTGCAGAAAATAGTAGCGCAGCGAGATATCCAATTTCGCCCAGGTTGGAGGCGTGGGCGTGCGTCTGGTGTAATCAGAGAGATTAATAAAGGGGAACCATTGACCCAAGTAAATAAGCCGGAGGATCGCTGGAAAGCAGAACGCGCGCGCAATTGGGGGGATATATGAAGGCGCGGCAAAAACCGGTTCCAAAAGCAAGTATATAGTTAGGATAATAAACAGGACGGGATAATGGCATCACCATCACCCCCCTTTGGTCATGACTGACCCTGTTTTGCAGGTTGGTTTTCCAGCAGTGGAGGTTGGTTCGGGCACTGGGCTTGCACGCTTTGCCGTTTTGGGCAAAAGATAACCTGCTACCGAGCAGGTGGGATATAGTTATATATATGCCAGTATGCGGAGTATGCGGAGTGTATGGAGTTGGAGGAAGCAGACGGAGTTAACTGATGGGGTGGATGAAGTATAGATATATATATCCTTTCTAATAAACATCATAAACATCATTTCACTAACCACCGTGTTGTAGGACCGTGGACGAAAAGGAGCATTGAAAATCCCCAGGACGATATCAATCCCTGTTAGTGTACGGCTATTCTACCTACCTATTGTCAAACTCTTGGACCCCTCTCCTGGCCTTCGTTTCTGCATATGGAAAATTAATGCGCGGAATGGGAACCCTCCCAAAACAAGTTGAAAGTGGCGAGCTTCTTCCCCGCAGGGTTAGGCCTGCTGGGAGCCGAATAGCATATCTGAACCTGGGGAGGAGGGGAGATTCCTGTTCGTCAACTCCTGGGTTGGATAGATATACCAATGCTATGGTCCATGATATTGTATCAGTGTCCGCTGGAAAGCCAGTTCGATGCCAACGCTTAGACAACAGCTTCCTGCTTTTTGGAGGGTTCGAAGATCAATTTAGCCGCGCGTGGTTATTGATTGTTATTCGTTGGCGGGGCCTATGAAATGTACCTTCAATCCCCCCCCTTTCTCTTCCTCTCTATTTTTCGGGATCAGGGGTTGATAGTTATGTGTTTAACTGCACAACCCACCCAACTCCCGTCTAGGAATTTTGCCAATGAAAAACCTACCACCAAGCCAGCATGCGCTTTGCAGGTGGCTGTCGCTTTGGGTAACATTTTTACCACTCAATTCGTCCCATGAAGCACAGAATAGGAAAGGGTTAGCAAAAAAAAAAAAAAAAAAAAAAAAAAAGGGTTGAGGACTTCTGGTCTTCTCTGACTTCATCGAAATCCCAACAAGGGGGATTGTCAGCCGGCATAGTCTATAGGCACGCGCCGCGAGATGTCAAGGCAAATTAGCACTCATATTCCAAATGGATGCAGAGGGAGGGGGACAGAAAATTAGGGGGAAATGGAGAGAACAAAAAGGTACTATAGATACAAATGTTAATCCAAAAATGCATTGCACTCTGCGTAGATAGTTACTCGTTTGTAGCGAGAATCTTAGCTTGGAGTTTCATAGATTATTTGTGTTTTGCTCAGACGTCGTAACTGGTTTGACAGAATACAAATCGCAATTTCAATCCCGCCCTTTAGCTAAATATATCTGTCAACCAGGTTTTCCCCCATAACTATCCGTAACCCCTGAATAAAATCCCAGAACAAGCTAATCGAGCTCTAGCCACCCCAAAAAACAGCGAAGTCGTGATTTATCAATTAGCACCAAAAAGAAACAAAAATCCACACGAAAATTTAATATGCCTGCTTGGATATGTGATTCCCCAGTCATGGTCATCGTTGGGTCGATGCAGCCTGTGTCGGAAAAGGCGTGCGGTCGTTCTCAGAAGACAGTTTTCTGCACATTGCCCTGGTTCTGTTGCTCCAAGGAAGATTTACGTGGCGATGGGGTTATCCGGCCGTTCTTGGAGAAAAATAAAACATTGAATTAGCTTCTAGGCTTTGCTGCTCTCTTTGGTAAAAAAAAACCAGGGTACAAATGGCAATGTATCGTCGATGAGAACGAGAAGAGACTGACAAAAAGGGTTTATCTATAGGCACGATATAATTACCATGCCGTTAAACCACATCTAACTACGCAGATACTGTACTCACCTGCTTCGCCCACCTCAAACCACAGCTATTGCACAAATCCCGATTCCCACTTGGGCCCCTCCTCCACTCCGGTGTGGTCTTCGTATGGCACTGTGAGCAGTCCTTTTCGGGCATCTCGACGTCCCTTTTCCGCTTCCGCCTCTTTTTCAAACTCGTCAGATACTGCAGTTCCTCGACAAGGACATTGTTGCGCCTTTTCAAGTGCTCCAGCTCAGTCTGCCAATTTGTGGTGCGGGTCGGGTTTAACTCTTCGAATATGTTACAAGATTCTCGTCTTTCTCGTGTTCTTTCTTGTGTGATTTCTGGGTTCGAAAGGAATGGACTCCATTTGTTATATCTGGTTGGCATATTGGATGAGTCGGGTTTAACAACGGGATGGATCATAGGTTGAGGTCCCGTGAGAGAGGAGCAGGGTGAGGGCCTCATATATTGATTCCCATAACCATGGCCAGCGACGTCAGGGCAGCGTGGTGGGCATATATCGGGTGAAATTAGTTGGTGCATCGTTATGCCGCTGCTCGTTTTTCTGCGTGTTTTCATCACAGAGGCCTTCGCCCGGTAGCCAATGGTTGGTCTCCGTAGCTTAAGCAATCGAATTTGTAATATCAGAAACGCAGGTTTCGATCCCTTGTCCGTCTTTTCACCAGGATATATTGTGCTCTGGACTTGCAATAAATGCCCTCGGCGATGCTGTAATCCATGGTTACAGGAGACTTGTTTTCCACTGCGCGCGACACCCAATGCATTCTCAAACTCCGCCAATGACTCACCGCTTAGAAGATTTTGGACGCTTTCTCCAACCAAGCCTTCAGCGCGCCTATCAAGAAAGGCACCCGCACTGGACGAGACGAAAAGCAAAATTCCAGATGTCGAAATCTTAGCCCATATTTCGCCCTCATTGATACCGCCATTCTCCATCACCTCGCCATGGGACATGGTGAAAACTGCCACCAGTTTCCCTAACAGAGCTACATGCTTCTGCTTTCGTGTCGACTCCAAGTAGACAGAGCCCAGACTTTCGAACCATGTGTACCCACTGGTTTTCCTGCGAATGCGATAGAGGAGGTTAACGGCTGAGCCGGGCTCGCAGTCCCTGAGTTCTCTTATAACGGTGACTATGTCGCTGGGATGGCATATCGAGGAGAGCATCGATCCAGCCAGCTCCTTAGGTTCGTATTCGAGAATCGCGGATGCTGAGGGAGTGACGTATAAAAATACACCACTTGTCGATATAACGTGGAATAGAAAATCAGGGCTTCCCAAAAATACCTTTCCCCAGTAGCTTCTAAAGTGAAAAGAGCTCTGGTTTCTGGTTTCATCGACATCTGTCGTATTGCTGCTCTTGCGATATTTGGAGGGGAAATACCCATTTTGATCTCGCCCGGTTGTGCCTCCTGGGTCGTATATATTGGGGGCAAGTTCTATTCTTCGGTAGTTAACGATATATGAGCCATCTAGGAGAAGTAGTAGTAGTTATGTTAGAAATCTTGAAGAAAAAGCGCAATGAAGAGGGATAGGTATAGCGTATTTTCTTAAAATACTAACCAAGGTTTCTTCCAGTAATCCCTTGAGGAGAATCCACGATATCAATCTGAAATCCAACGCTGAAATTATACTCATCTGAGAGCCACCGTATCGGAACCACGGTGAGCAGATTCAAAAACGGTTGTCCCCCTTTTCGATAATTCACTAAGCACTCCTGAACCTCAGATCTGGCATTTATCTTATATTTTAAGTGGCGCACCGCCTTGTCATAGGAGGCTCTGTGTTTCAATCCTGGTTCAATATTCCCCGTTGGCTCCTGAAGAAACCGACAGTCGCGCCCAAAAACTTCTTCATGTGAGTACCCGGTCAACCGGCGAAACGCATTAGAAGCATACACTATAGGAAAATCACCGGCAGTAATTCGGCATATGACGAATGCACACGACATGTCTATTATCCCGAGATTGATTCTAGGTCCTGCTCTCATCGTTATACAGTTCTACTAGCAAGCGTCGTTAGTAACGAATCAAGATGTCCAGTCTCAGGGGAATGAGTCTCAGGGGAATGAGTAAAACGACCTACTAAAACGTCTATCGCATTTAGATTCCCAATTTGGCTTTCGGCTGAGTATTGGTATGCACCGTTATCTGGGAAACCTATTGGGAGAATAGAAGACTCGTCTTTGCTTTTTGAATTTAATTCCCCGCCCGGATACATGACTGATTGTTTGGTGTTTCTGACAGAATTGTTAAAGTTATTTTCCATATTTGAATGCGACATCGAGTTCGGGTATTGGAATAATGACCCATCTGACTGGTTTAATTCAGAGAACTTGACGTCAGGCTGCAGGACTCTTCCTTGATACCCATGGGAATAATGTAACTGGGTCCCAGGGTCCCCTCCGGACCTTCTCAGAGATGGCCGTAGCATTTTTTGAGACCAGTACGGGACCCTGTTACGTTCAAGATTTCCATCCTTTCGCAATAGTCTCTGATGAGATGTCTCAGTCGACGATTTTTGACCACTCGAGCCATGATTCTTGGGTTTAATTACCAAGGTTTCATTCGCGGATAAAGTAGACCATCTCCAGAAGTCTAGAGATTCAGGAAACGAATGCGTTACTGGATCGGAATATCCCAACGAATTCCAATACGTCTCTAACGAGGTAAACGTAGCGGGTGCAGATACGGTGCTCACAGACGAGCAGAAACCCGGAGAACAATTGTAAAAAGCAATGGTCTCGGTTGGATTTAATCGGCCCAGAATATTAGCAGAAAGGTTGTAAGTATCTAGATGAACTGCCGGGTCGTCTGTACCAGAGTTACGTGGCGAAAAACAACCTAGTTGCATTGGAGCGAATCCGTCGTGTGGAAGAGATGCAGGAACTTGGAGTTCCAAACCCATGATCTGCGGCACATGGTAGTTTAAACGCTGTACAGATCCTCCTTCGTGTGGACTCTCATATCGGTCTTCAACAACCACTTCTTCCTCCTCTAGCGACTGAACAGTCGCATGGTTCCCATTCCTGGTCAAAGTAAAAATATTTGACCTCGAATGTTGCATAGAATCATCAGTGTATTTCTTGGATGAATTGGCCAGTTTCACCGAAGGATACCGGCCGGAATGAACTTCCTCACTCCGATCCATCGTGTCAGCAGCGTCGTCAAAAAGAATACTGAGAGATTCTGTCAAGGGTTGCAAGGGCATGACACAATCACTCTATCAGTAATAAACACGCCAGCAGCTGTTTCGAAAGCTAAGGTTGTCAAGGTCGCAAAAGTTGTTGAAACCAAACCCCGAAAATCCAACATGTGTTAGCTTAAACCCGACCAGAGAAAAGACAAGATACCTTAAATCCATTCGCTCTTCTCAACAAAAGTGCTGACATAAAATATCCAAAAAATTGAAAATAAAAAATCCAAGCGAGACGAAAATAATGGAATAGATAAACCATGGGGATATCAGAAGCGTGCAGACGGCAAATCCATGCAGAAGTGGGAATCCTGCAAATTTCGCAACAGGGAAAACTAGGTTAACTGTTAAGAGGAAAATGCGAAACGAGATGGAGAGGCCCTCGCGCAATATTGGAAATGTAGTTTCAAAGTAGCACCTAAGGTTTCCACCAGGAAAATCAGGGGAAAACCTAGAATGCATCCGTGGATTGACAGTCTGAACCCTCAAAGATATCAGATAGTGTCACAAATGGGAGCTTAGGAAATTATTGTGTTATGAGTTTCTCCGACACCAGGGTAACCGAGACCTAGTCCCAAGGGTGTGTAGTTGAATGGACCAGTTCGGGCACATGCAAGATATGTCAAAAGAAAAGAAACAACATCAAACGTTAACTGTCATGATGGCGTGTACTCCGTAAAAGATATGTAGATTGTGCCCTTACAGGCGATTGTGCCTTGGCTCTGAACCAATGATTGCTTCTGGCAGATGCAATCCCCTTCGATACCTCGCTCCATGAGCAGGTGAAAGTGGTAGGATGGATATGTATCTACTCGCAGAACTTCAAAAAATATAAAAATAAAAATAAAAAATAAAGGAGTAAAGTAGTTACTCCATGGGTAATAATTAGGGTTGGCTGTCTACGACAGGCGAGAAGCCACGTCGTGTACAATCCAAGGCCTCAATCATCCATGTTGCGCACAAGTTCAAAAGGAGCACCAGATGGTGGGAGTCGCACAATATGATCCAGATTGATCACCACGTCCTCCATTGACATACACACACATATACACTCACTCACACTCAATCATTCACACACCCAGGGAATAAATTAAAATGGGAGCACAGATTGACAGCAGAGGAAAAGAAAAAAAAATGATGGAAGAGAAAATGTGTACTCCTGTACAGGTCCCTAGGCGCTAGGAAGAGATACTAACTCGAATGATGAACTCAAGGCACCTGCAACCCTGGAAGAAGGCTCTCTGTCCAAAATCCAAAGGTTGGGGCTCTAATGCAGCAGATCAGCCCTTAGGTGCAAGTCGCAGTACCAACCAACTTTAGTTAACTGTACCATTTCAACTTCAGCCGAAAGCCTGGACGATGTAGGATATTGCATAAAGCTTGGCGACGCAAGCGTCATATCCACCGCAAATCAGATTCTATTATGATAGTCAGAGCATTCGCGGTTCAAGCATTTTTTGTTGGACACATGAGGAAGTTATTCCTTTGTGATTTAGAAGATGATAATCTCCGAAAAGGAAACCTCAAGGCATTTGGTATACAAGGGCATAGCTCTTCTCAGCAGATAGAGCTCCATGATCACGACCAACAGAAAGCGTACATATGGTCTGCCTCCGTAGCACCACTTCGCAGGAATGGACACAAAAGCTGACTTGTCGAGTCTTCCCGAGGAAGGGCGGCAAAGGTCCGAACCGAACCACAACAAAAGATTTTGGCCCCCGGACGTTGGCAAGCTGTGTCTTGCAGGCTACAGATGCAGAAAGTACGTAACAGAACACTCAAAGACACTTGTAGCGTTGACAAAGTTGGCGCCTGGCTGAGTAACTCGTCGAATCGTACCCATGAAGTGTGAACAACGCCGCAACCGAGCGAGATGAGATCGTCAGGTTCTTCCCAGTCCAGCTACTGTGATCTGCCTGAGGGGCTTGCTCAGTCTGGATAGCGGAGTCTGCAACTTGGAACTCAGCTGCCATCCAGCATTGTAAGTTCTGTTGCAAGGACGATATTCATTCAAGAAGCAAACAACTGTCCGACGTGCTGGGACCACGACCACGACCCACATATAAATGAAATCATAGCTGGTTTGAAGAGATCGTTGCAATTGGTTATCTCTTCGCAAAGAAGAATTTATAAATCAGACCCGCAATACTCGCAGCAAAGGTCTCCATTCGCTTTTCTTGTGATGTGCGGCGCGTCACTTGTCCGCTATTGAGCACGAAGCAAAACACCTGTGAAAAATCGGTTTGTTCAATTATAGGAATAAATAAAACAAAATAAATGGCAAGATGAGACGTATCTTCCTTGAGTAACAGCGCCCTTCATGGATTTTGACGTGTTTTCTTTCGTGGAGATGGATGAAGAATATCAAGGTCCCAACGACAGTTGGAGACGAAACGATGTGCGCGCGTCTTGGCATTGTTGACTCTCAACATTTGAACCAAAACCAAGGAAAATGAACAATTCATCTTTCTGTCTTCTCGGTTACATTCTGCCACACAGATGATAACGAAGAAATCAAGGAAGGACAGCGCTGTTTTGTCAACATCAACATGAAGTGCAGCAGAATCAAACGAAGAGATAATTAAATATAACTTAAACATACCCCAGGTTTTACGAGTGCGAACTCCCAACAATTGCTCTGAATATTCGCTGACAAAGTCCCCAGGAACGTATGTAGGATACATACCCCCGAATGCCACACTTCCCTATAATGGTGACAAATGCAAGAGGGCATCTGGAATCCCTCATGCAATGGTGCAACTGATCACCTGATGAGCACCTGCATGGGGCATGGGGGAAAGCTGGGGAAAAGAACTCTCTTGGATGATATTATCTCCTAAGTACTGATCCAGGAAACGATTGATGAGTGACCACCTTGGAGCCATCTCTCTTCATTCTTCAGGGGAAGGAGCGGGGATTAAGGAACGGCCTGCTCATAGCAACGGTTCATGTTTCGGGGGAGCGTTGGCAAAAAAAAAAGGGGTATGGTTGGGACAAATCTCTGTTCTAATAGTTTGTCTCTCCTGAAAACAAACCCATCCACCGGCAGCACTTCTCGGGACAATGCCATCCTGCCGGTAATCTACACACAAAGATATATCCCATCACGCCCGTCACTGCTGCCATAAACATGTACAGTACAATAGAATACGACCCGGACTGCCCCAATCCCAGCAGCTAGGGAAGAACGAGGGGAGCCGTCTCCCCTAATAGCTCTTTCGATAGAGCCTGGCTCAGGATGGGACAGGAATCTTCACATATGCAGCAATTCCATCCGTTCGGAAATACAATTTTATATGTTATGTCCTGCCATGAGAGTGTCGCTGACACAGTTCAACTTCCTTGCAAAAGAATTGCAAAAGAATTACCAAGGGGATTAAATCAAGTTCTGATACCCTCATGGCTAACTACCTAGATGAGGTAGAAAAGAAACTCGATGTCATGATTTCCACTCCGTATTTTAATCAATTTTCGTCAGGTCTGGTTTAATAAACTACCCTCATGGTTCAGAAGAACTTTGGGAACTATTTATCTGTTTTGGACGAAAAATATTAAAGACTAGATGGTCAGCTTTTGGAACCTTTTGATTATTTTCTCTTCTCTCTTGGTTTGCAGACACAAAATATATCGAGGTTGAATGATGCCTGAGGATGTGGGCTTTGCTTCACCCATCTGCAAAAGAGTTGCAGGAGTCTAACCTCAGAGGTCCTATTTGCACTCGTGAATAGGGGTATATATATATATATGCGTATCCCTCCCCCCCCCCCAAAAAAAAAAAAAAAAAAAAAGACGTCAAATATAAACAACAAGAGCAAGCCCATAACAAACGCCGGTAGTATTGCTGCTGTACATAACATATGCTCTAGAATATTCAAAAACCAACCAAAAATAACTCCATAAAAACACCCAGGCGAAATATGCGATCAACCAGCAATACGTGATGATGATGAAGAAGAAGTTGTATATTACACCCAAAAAGAGCGTGGGCGGGGAATGAGTGCCAGTTGAAGGGGAAGTGAAGGATATGGATATGTACATCCCGTATATCAGCGATCAATCTTCGCGTAGAGCGTCATCTTTGGAGGTTCTGCTGAAAATGCATGGAAGGCACCGCCATCGTTCTTGTTCTCTGGGGATTTCCCGACAGATTCGGGAAGACAGTTTGATTTACCCCGGAACGTCGTGTCGGAAACAGCTTCCCAGAGCTTTGTGATATCATTGAGCATGGGACGCGTTGTCCAGATACGGCAGCCAGCAGCTTCATAGACGAACTGGAGGGGAATCCGATCCTTATCCTTGGGGTCGATACCGTTGCGGAAATTGACACGAGCGCCCTCGCCATCGTCGACAGTTCGGGCCAGGATGTACTTCCCAACCCGGTAGATCTCTCCCAAATCAGTGCCTGCCCATTGACGCTTTTCCTGTGGAGTGGAATAGCTGTCAAATACTCTGGCCGCGGTGTAGTAGATTCGTTGGTAGGTAAGGACTTGTGTGCCTTTAACACCGCCGATAGCTTGCATAGGTCCAGTTTGGGGCCGTCCACCGACGACGATGGTTTTGACGCCAGCCTTCTGCATCAGATTGGCGAAGATGGCGCAGGTAGATCCGCAGGTGCCATCGGTAAGGAGGACTATGTCCTCTGCTTTGAAATACTCCTCGCGCATGTTCTTACGGTCGAGATAACCGCTTACTACGATTCCGCCAGACGACCTGATGCTCAATACTCTGTTGTTAAAGTCCCAGCGTCCCAGATTACTAAACTTGTAGTCTTTGCCAACGGTATCCGGGCCATAGTAATCATCCCAGCTGGAGAACTTTTTGTTGTCCATATTTAAATAGGAACCGGTGTCGTAAATGCCGTCCCTTTCATCACGGTCCTGCGGCGTTTCCTTCCCGTCGTTAAGCATATCGTGGACTTTGGTTCCGATTATGTCGAGCTGTTCATGGGCACGGATGTTGAACGCGTCGGCTGGCTCAACTTTTGGCAAGAGCTGGATATCACGTCAGTCAGCAAAATAGAGAACGTGGCGCTCCCCAAATCAATAATTCACATACCTGCTTGAACAGGTCGTAGCCGAGTAGGATTGTTCCACCTCCGTTGCGAGTAACGTCCACGATCAACTTCTTCTTGCCGGCTTTCTTGCATTCGGACAAGAAGGTGGTTACAGCATCCTGGAATTTAACGCTTCCCTGTGAACCTGTTCCCGTGAACGACGTGGCGGACAGAACAGCGGTATCACTGTAATCATCCTGGAGGAAGTAGCCCGCGACATCTCCACCCTGCATCTCAACGACTGGTTTAGGATAAAGGGGGCGCTTGTTCTTTTCGGCCCGGGGCGCCACTATGGGGGCAGCTTTCAGAATATAATCCCGCTTCATTTTCTTAAATCCCTTGCCAAGTTCAGAAGAGCAGAACTTGGCATAAAAGCTCTTGCCATCAACCACATCTGTGAATGGTGTGGTGAACGATGCCATGTTCTCATATTCCTTGACGGTGCCATTTTCAAACTTGAGGGCAACGGAGGCTCCAGTGTACACTCCCGATTGGGCGTAGAACCCACCAAGCACCCCATTTGTTTCGGCTGGGATACTCCAAAACAGCTCGTTGTAGAGAGCATCCGGGTCTTGGGTCGTGCCCCCGTATGACAGGCCCGTAAGCCATTCAACGACATTTTTGCCGTCAATTTCTTGAATCGGCGAAGGAGCAAAGTCGGGGTTCTTTGCTTGGAGGTCAACTGCAAGCTATTAGCATAATGCGTTCAATAGATGACGTCATTTTATGTAGGATAACTCACAGTAGGAATAGACTTTGGGTGGTTCATTTCCTTTCTCTGAGAAGGACACAAGTGGCCCCGCTTTTGAGCGGCGGAAATGGAAAACGCTGGCAGCGTCAAGCTTCAAGCTAAAGTGAGAATCATGTGTGGTTTTTGCCAGGGCCGACAGATCGCGCTGGAAATCGTATTCATTTGTATATTCCTCCCGAGAAACCTTCTTGCGGATGATTTCCAACCCGGCAACCAGGTCCGTTTTCGGCAGTAAATAGCCAGAAGGGGGATCCTTGAGGTAATCTATTGTGCTCTGCCATTTCCAAAATGAAATCAGGCCGTCTACTAATCGTAAAGCGTCGCCTCTATTGATGGGCACGGAAGTCAAACAAGCATGAGCGAGTTGCGCAGAGATGAGGAATGGACCTAATCAACCGCTTAAAAGAGTCAGAGATTGGTGAGCGACGGAGAGAGGTGTATATGAGATAATGGCGACCCACCATCTGGATCTTCACTGGATTGCTCTTTGTATGCATCGGCCACCAGTTTGCAAGGCTCGCTTTCTCTTTTTCCTAATGACTTTGCATCTGGGGAAGATTGCGCAAGTCCAGCTGAGGTAGCTGCTATTATTGCAAGAAAGGTGAGTATCCGTCCCAGGAGCCCCATGATTGGAATGAGGAAGGGCGCCGGAAGAACGAAGAGGAACCAAGATTGAAACACCCGCAACAGATGAAACAACGAAAGAATTAGGTACAAGAAAGCAAAATAATCTAGGAAAAGAGAAACTTTTTAATATGTAGAGGAAAGAAAACAAAAAGGCCACTCACTCCCCTAGACAACGAGAATGAAAAGATGATAAAGAGGGACGTGAGCAAAAGGAGACACCAGAGAAAGATAGCGGTTTTCGTCTCATATATCTCAAGATCTCAAAGGGCCTATGGAAAGAAGAGAAGGTAAAACGCATCAGCCCTAGAACTGCCACAGCCTTCATATTAGAGGGCATTAGGAATAGCTAGATGATCTAATTTCGGCCTTTTGTGGATCAGACGCCCACAAATACCAGCGCATAATTGGCCCATGGATTATTTTGCCGGTCCGCAGGAGGGAGAAGTCAAGCAACTAGTGCACAGGGACATTTAAACGAGGGGCTGAGAAAATAAAGACACCAAGAAAGCCGAAAATAATAATAATAATAATCATCATCATCATCAAAATGCGACGGTTTCCTGTGCCTTGGCCGGGTTGGGTTAGAGATTGATAGAGCTTGGCGAATCCGAAGCCGCTAGGACTATTTGCCGCATGGCTGGCTGGAGCATGGCTGTGGCTCCAGGGTGGAGGTGACATCGCGAAGAATGACCGCCTCGTGCAGTTGGACGCCATTTCGGCCACAAAAGTTGGAATAGAACAGCACAATTCGATGGTTTGAGCAGGGGCTCGTTTTTAGTGGAGAGGTTCGACCTGACCAAAAATAGCCAACCTAGACGCCAGCGCCCCCCAGGCTTTAGAGAAAGAGGGCCAACAGCCCTAGCTTGTTCCATGCAGAGCAGCGCAGCACGCAATGGGTGCCTAGGGACTCGTCTATTACGATTCCTCCAAAGAACGAAACTTGCGGATGAAGTTGAGATCTTGACGTTGTGCCTGTGTGGGTTTGCGGCTCTTCCGGGCCTTTTGGATCCGCGGTTTTGCACTCTGAAACTGGGGCTAGGCCGGGTCTGGGTTAGCGGTCCCTCTGTCCCTGGCCGATCGCAAAGGCTCAGTGAACACAATCCGTCAACAATTGGCCAACAAGCAAGTTGGCAGATGAGGAGAGCCATCCGCTGCTGCGTATGACGGCAAGTTGAGGGCCATCCAGTGATCCCAACGTGTCAAATTTTAGCAACAATGGCCGATGAATGGATGCCAGGCAAGTCTGGGAGCAATGTATCATCTAACCCGTAACAGCGTACGATGTCTATGGAGATATATTTTCTCTGTTTGATTTTCATATGCGACGCTCTGAATAATATCGATAGTCAGACCTCGTGTCGCATGCCATGGGCGGGCAGAAGAAACCAATCTGGCTCTGTTTGATCGTCGCCTCTTTGGGTAAAGGGTAAACAAACTTTACACGACTCTTGGAACACATTGGTTCGACGACCCCTCTTTTCAGGAGTAAAGGGTTTTTTTTTTTTTTTTTTTTTTTTTTTTTTTTGAAAAATGACCAAAAAAATTTTTAAAAAGTTAGTCCGATGGATACTCGGAGAGGCAAAGATGACCGACGGTCCATCCTCATTTCATTCTCCACACAATTCATCATTGCTTACGACGTGAAACAACGAAGCCCTTGTTGCTTGCTCCGGAGTCCCTTAGGTAGCGCGAGAATGGGTTTCTGTGCACCGAGGCCATAGTTATGTTCTTCATCACCTAGTTTGGCTATTATAAATGCTTCTTTTTTTAATTTCACAGCGTCGATTGTTGGCCTTCTAGTTAACGTCCACATGGATCGACATCCCCGGTCGTTTGGCACAGAGACGACTTCCAGCGCTATACCCATTATTCTGTTATATTCTTATTTCTCGATGCCTATTCTAATACGGAAGAATACCAAACAGAACTATCAACGGGGCCTCGGTGATATATTAGTCGATCGATGAGTCTCATCTATTTTTATATAACTACGCCAATGCGGCTTTATTCACTCTTCATGTTTCCTAGGCATGCATCGGGTATAGGGGCTACAGTTGAACGAGGTTCAAAAGATGAGCCCTACTGTCTTACAACCGTGATCAACTCGGGTCACTTTGTCTGAAGTAAACACAGGTCTCCTCCTACTCCGAACTAAATACTCGCACGTAGTTTTGCTACACCACACATATTATTAATACATCTCTATTCAACCTCGGGTTCAGATTGGGTTAGTCAAGGGCGAGGACCTGAAAGATGATAAAGCTTCTGGAGATGTGAGATGTGTGTGAGATATGTGTGTGTATGACTAGTTGTATGTGGTTGTAGTGAGGGTGTCCCATGGCTTAAAGAGCATCAACTACACTGAAGAATTTTATGGTAGAATTTTAAAACCACGTTCAACCGTCCGCCCATCCAGTATTTTCCTTTCTATGTCTGTCGTTCTTGACCGAACGATTACGGAATATAGGCTTTGCAGGGTCCCAAGACAACAGCCGCTGGTCTTTGCATCCCTCATACTCAGTTCGACAACGTTTGCCCCTGGTTGTTCCTGAGAGTCTACCACCTCATTTTGCCGATATGATGAGAACTCCAGACCGTATGAGTCGGTTCGTCAATGTTATGCAGAAATAGAGCGTCTTAGACAAACTGTCGCCTTTCCCAGCTAGCAGATTGAAATGATACAAGACCTGCACACAATATATATATAAACATATATACATACATATATAATATATATAAACGTGAAAAACATGATATTTAATCCAGCCAACAAAGCTCCAAACTGAAAGTATGGCAAACCGTTAGCCAATGTTTTTCTTTCCCAAGCGCCCACCCACCATCACCGGGCGCAAAGGACCAGGTGTCCTCAATTAAGGGCGGCGGCTACTGTTGCAACTTCGATGCCCTCTGGAAATTCGACGAGATATAGGCCCACCCCCGACACATGGCCCAAAGTCAAACTTCAAGAGAAGGGTTCTGCTGGAAAAGACACATCCGACCACTACAAGCTGCCCCCGTTGGACGATTTTATTTTCTATGCAAGATGGTCTCTCCAGAGGAAATCGTTGCGGACCCCAACTTGCTCCATTAAAGGCAGAGACGCTGCCTGCCAATTGCGCCTCATCGCCCAAAATATGGCAGGGAGGCAGCCTGGCGGTTGTCCACATCTCGACACTGGTCGACAGCTCTTCTCAAGCTGTGAGTGAGTGTGAGAGATGAGATAGGTTGTTGATCTGCAACTGAATAATGGTTGGCAGCGCGTAACATACATCCACTCCTGAATCACAGCCATCCACTTATTGTAGCTAGGTCCTCCGTAGTCTGTTCCTGTCAAGCGTTTTTGGACTATACACGCAGCTCCCAAACGGCGTTCAAACTAGTTAATCAATATTCAGAGATTCTTCTTAAATTAACTTCTCAAACGTTTCTGATAAAGAGTAAGTTCCGCCGTAGCTAATAATGAATAATAACAAGAGGTTTGCTCTTGTCGAGAACGGCTGACGTCAAAGCCACAGCCAAAGATCTAGGAGAGTCACTTCGTGTCAAACTACAACTGATTTTGTGGGATGGTTGGTTCTTCTATTCGGAGGAGCTAGCTAGGTTATTGCTATATTACATACAAGCGATCACATGTGGGCGGGGCGGTCGCTAGGGCAACGCCACCCAGGCGGGCGCCGCTACAGATTTAAAGAGATAAAACATATGGGTCATGTGAACTTCATTCGCTAGAGAACTCCCTAAATCCTTCTATGGACTGCGGACTGAGCGCGCAGCTTAGCCGCTGCCAATACGCATGTTTGATGAGATGCAAGCAACGGACGTCCATTTGTGTCTGCGAGTCTGTATTAATTAATACGTCTTGTTAGGAAGAGAAATTCCCACGAGCGAATGAAACAAGAAAAATAAACAAGTTTAATTTATATAGATGCCAGGTGATCACTATAGAGAAGAAAAATGGTATGGCAGAAAACAGAAACTTGGGTAATAAATGAGATGCGAGAGAGCGCGTGTGCGGATTCGGAAGTGATGATAGAGGAAATAAAACTAAGCAGCAGACAAAGAAAAAGGAACGCTCGAAATGCCGAAACCCAACACCTATACAATGCAGTAATGGGAATCGCAGAGATAGGGACAAGAGCAAGTAAATGGGGATATAATAGAGAAGGAGTCGGGAACTGGGGAACCGCGAAAACAGCCAATATTACACAATGAGGTTAGTGAAATTATTGTGATAATACAAATGGATATTCCAAGGGAAGATGCTAAGGAAATCTGGGGGAATCTGAGCGTCCGATTGCTAGACAAAGAGGAAGAAAAGAAAGGAAAGAAAGGAAAAGAGAGAAAGATAGAGAGAGAGGGGCAGAGGGGTGAATAAAATTAGAAACCATAGTTGTAAAAAGCAGAAATGACGGTTTGTTGCCCAAGAAGCTGTAGCTGCAGATGTCATCCAGGAATGTGGGAGGTGTGTAGTCCAGTTATTAATTGCTTCAAGTGGCATCAGTCGTTAGCATCAAAAGATATAAATATCACAACTAAGGGAAATAGGTAGGAAACTCACTATATTTCCAAAGGAGATATCTGGTCCAACGTGTATAGCCAGTTTCCTCCTTGTTCTTCTCGCTCCAACCTATATACGCCACGATCAGAAAGTTAGTTTGCCACGTTTTGCCCAAAATCTGCAATGCGCTCGCTGTTTTGGGATCCTCAAGAAATGCTACTAACCATTCGTACGGCCAAACTATAAGGTGACCTTGGACCGAATTCATCAACTCCTCCGCTTCAGCTTTCGATATAATATCATCAGAAGCGTGAAACTCTCGTCGCGAACTGCGGGTGGTGGCCCTGCGTCTCCGCCTCTGGGGCTGTGTGGCATTTGGTTGCAGGCTCCCATCAGCAGGTTTCTGTGGACTTTTCTCCGTTTCGGGGATCGATTGAACAGTGCCGTCGACGTTATAGCTGGAATTCGTCGACTTCGTCTCCGTGGCCTTCAAGGGATCCTTTTCTCCCATGGATATACCGGTTTCCTGCTGGGACAGTTCCAGCTGTTCCCTCTCTATTTGCGCCTTATTTGCTTCTGACGCCCAATGTTTCAACTCTGCTTGCGCAGCAGCTTCGTTGCTCACCGTACCAGTGATTTTCTCCTTTAAGCCATCTCCCACCTTGCCAAGGGTACTACCGGCCACGCCGCTGTTGCCAGGTGGGCCACTTTGTGCGGTAGCCTCTGGATGAGTTTTGACATTCTTGTAATATTGGCTGTTCTGCATATCAGCAAAACGTTCCGCATAGGCCGTATATTCTTTATATTCTTTCCATGTCTTAACCTCGTTGTCAGGCATGCAGCGAAATACGCTTCGATACAGTTTCGTGTTGTTCTCTGCTATTGTTTGCCAGATATCCAAATAAAACGTATCGCTTAGAGGATCCCTCATGCAGTCCTTGTCAACAATGGGGCGATTGATGTCAGATGATAGTGGATGGGTATCTCCGGAATAATCTTGGGCATCATGCTGTGAGTGATGATCAACGGTGGTAGGAAGGTCGTTAGGCGCCGGCTGAGTAGTTGGCCTGGAACTAGAGACACTTCGGCCGAAGCTGTTTGCTGTGGGTGGAGGGACTTCTTCGTTTTTGTCTTGTTCTCCTCCAATTTGAGATGGAGACACCTTGCGCAGTTTAGATTTGCCCCTTCCCGGTTTCCCATCTACAGACGAACCTTGAGCGAGGACTTCCACGCGATCGCCCACCATGAAAGAATCACGGCCATCGCCCTGTCCAGCCTCCTGAATGAGTTTCATCTGGTCAACTCCAAGGCCTTCCAAATCCTTTTTATGATCTTCATTCCTCATTATTCTCGAGTCCTCAGTGAGCTTTTTGTTGGACTTGAGGTTGGGATTGTTAGCCTGTTCCCAATCAACATCATGGTTGAAACTGTGCAGTTCCTCCGACCTGGCGAGGAATTCGTCTTGGATCCGGTGTCTTCGCTCCAAAAGTTCCCTCTCGTCTCGTTTTTCGGTCGCTTCATCATAACCATGATCCAGCATCTCGTCACTGTAGTTATGGGGGATGTTCGGTTCGGCCTGCCCATTCGACTTGGCCATTTCGTTGTCGAGCTCTACCGCTTGCTCCATAATTTCGTCAACGTCGATACCGATGTGTTCTCTCATCAGCCGCATACGAAGTGTGTGAGAAAAGCGGCCAACAAGGTACGGCTTCCCGCCCATCGTAGACCATAATAGATCTGTATCACGAACGATTGCAGCGCACTCGGAGTCTCTCGACCCAAGCATAGAACGTTCGTTTATATTTGCGGAGCCGATTATAGCGACTCGATCATCAACAACCATACACTTGGCGTGGATGTACAACTGCTCCGTGACTAGAAGTTTCCGAGGGCCAATTTTCCCCCATGACCTTAGACTGAAGAATTGGATGTAGTCCTCAGGTTCGATACCAGCGGCTCGAAGCCGTCCGAATATGGATGTCTCTCCGCGACAGATGCTCCGATATTGACATTGCATGATCAAACGAACACTAGTGCCCCCTTCCGTATCAACCTGGTTTTGGAAGCCGGGCATAAGGGGTATCAATATCACAGCCCGCCAATCCTCATCGTTTCTTGCAGCTCGGATTATCCGCTCTACGAGGGCATCTCCAATCCGATTTTCAATTTTCTTCCCTTCTATTTCACAGCTAGTCACGAAAAACTGGTTTTCGATATAGACGAAATGATCAGATAGCTCAATCGTCTTGAGATATGCGTTCATGATACTGTGTTCAGTCACGTCAGACGTTCCAGTTGACCATGTGCTGCTCGACCGCAAGATCTGAACTTCGCAAGTGCCATCGAGCCCAAGTGATTCCAAGTCTGCAGGATTAAAGTCAGGTGGGGGGAGTAAGAATGGGGTTGGCCGTGTAGGTTTTCTTTGTCGTAGGATGTAATTCCACCGCTGAACAAAGTGCCTGGTGAGATCACGGGCTGGTTGTCCTACTATATGCATGGAAATATCATGCCATGGCATTCTAGGAACAACCTCACGGTCATACATCTCTTCATACGGTTTATCGAGATCGTAGAAATCCTGAATTCTCGGGTTTGAATAATCTTTCCCTGGCCAGAGTTGACAATGATCCGCATCCTTGGGAACATCAGTGAGCTCAAACCCTGTTAATTTATCATCTGTAACGAGATGCTGTGGGGTATCCCATCTTCCAAAGCAGAGATCAATGCCTCCGATAAATGCAAGGGTATGGTCAACAAGACACAATTTCTCGTGGTGGGCCCAGAAAAACGTGTTTTGTCTAAATTGATTTGGAGATCTTTGCACGAAGATATTTGGATGTAGATCCAGCAACGAAAATTTCGAGTACTCCGAGTCGATCGGGATAGCAGAGTTGATATTTCGATACATGATCACAAAAACTTTGACACCCTCCTGCGCTTTCCTTTGAAGGAGTCGGTCCAGTCTCCATTTCTGGCTGATAGCTGCTGGTCGTCGCATGTAGAGTTCGGGACTCAACCACCAGTCATGAATATAGATGACATCCTTAGCCTGGTTTATGGCTCTAGATACAACCCACATATAGTCACGTCCATCAACTAGCCATTGAGCAAAACATTTCTGACGTACAGGGGCGAAGCTATCGAATCGGTTAGGTTTAGACCAAGGCGTGTTGTCCACCATAAATCGAATTGAATCCTCAAACTGATGTAGCTGACGCTCATTTCGAGCTAGCAGTCTCAGCTTACGTTCAGAGTTCTGAAGCTTTAGAGTATGGTGCTGCGGATGCGCCGCCGACTCTTTTGCGGATTGGGCCAACTGTTTCGGTTTTTGGTCACGTAGCCGTACCTTCTGGGGTTGAATTTGGAAGAAAGGGTCTACCAAAAACACATCGTAAATGTTCATTCCTTCAGGCGAATCAACACAAACGACGTAGCTATGACGGACTAAAAACCACTTTGGCGAATGACGCGATTTAATCATGGATGGGTTCAAAGCTCTGCGGAAGTCGAGCCCTTTAGATGACTGAATTACCAGGAACCCTTCCTTGCCATGGTAACTCCCTTCTGCTGCCAGCCGGACGCCTAATGCTGAAAGTTCCAAAAACTTGCAAAGACGGTTGCTGTCAGGGCGGAAGATAAGAAATCGAATCATTTGCTGGAGATATATCTCGAGCTTTTTCCGTTGCCGTTCGGGATACGATTCCCTTTTAACTGCTCCACCTCCAATGGACGCTGGGCGCACGACACCCGGTTCCAAAGCCCCTGAAGCACCACTTTCTGCTGGGGCAGTCAAGCTTGACCGCCTCCGGGAAATACCGAATGATGAGCGGCGTTTCTTTTTCTTGTTTGCTCTTTCGTTGCCGCTGGTACCTTCAGCTGCAGTTTCATCGCCTACGTCATCAGCCTCCTCTTCTCCTTCGCTCTCCAAGTCTCGAACACCCCGGAGATAAGGGAAGGCACTTCTTGGGAAATGGGGAAGTGGATGTGTTGTGTCATGGGCCTTGAGCTGGATATACCTCTGGGTCCCGATCTGGAGTTTATATTTTATGTGGAGGTTCGCGAAATCCCTAAGGGTTCTGTGGATTACCCACTTCATTCGGGTCATTCCGCTGCCATACTCAAGTTCTATTCGAAAGACCAAATGACGATCATTAGAGTGGGGGTCGAACTTGCTGTCGGTGATATGAACCTTCAGTTGCTCAAGGAGGATAGGAATGCGTCTGCTTCCATGCTCGTCCCTTTGGAACATACTCGCCAGCAAAAGAGCAGCAGGAATTCCGGAAGCAAGTTCAGCCAATAACTCCGCAGACTTTACGTGATCCACAGTGGTTTCAACTTTCTTGCGCTGACCGATCATTTTCAACCCAGCTTTGATCTGTCGCCATTTCTGGGCACTGAGGCTGGTGCCACGTTCTCCCTTGTGTCTTCTCCAAGTCGCAGCAATGCCATCAGGATTATCTGATTGGCCGCCAAACCCTGCTAACCGTCGAAAATTGCTATGTCTTTTCTCGTCTTGAGAACCTCGGCCTTCTGGTCGACTTGGGCCACTGTAGCTCAAACCGCGAGCGCTCTGCAGCCATCCATTTCGTCTCCTCCACATATTATCGCGTTTCAACCTTTCTCGTCCTTCATCTTCGGAAAACCCCTCGCGGACCTGAGGAGGAACGGCATTTGTATCGGCCCTCCGAGAAAAATGGCCCCCACGAAAGCTGTCACCGGGGGTGAAGGAACCCCTGGACGGGAACTGTGGTCGAATACTTGATTTGGGAGTGCTGGGAGCGGTACGAGATCCTGTAGCAGGGGGTCTTCTGATTTTTCTCTTCTTTTTCCTGATACCGGCTGCTTGTTCCCCAGAGCTAGATTCAGCATCAGCATCCATTTCACTTCCTTCCTCCTCAAGTGTATTGGGGAAACGGAAATCCCCTCTTTCAGACCTCGGACTAGCGGTGCCGCCTAATGGCCTGGGTTCCATTGGCTCGTCTCCGATTGTCATGCCACTTGCAGTACGATTATGCGTCGGGAAGGAAGGAGAAGCAGCAAATGCCTTTAACTTGGAGAAGAGGGATGAGTGCAACCGACGGTCCTTTGACAAAAGATCGCCATCTTCTGGGCCTATCGAGGACGCTTGGGAATGCGGTACCCCTTCGCCTTCCCCTTGCTCCTCCCCTTCACCTTCATTACCGGAAGCTGTTCTGGCAAACTGTACGCTTCGGCGTCCCTGCGGAGTTGAGAACCCTGGCGCCTTCTTCTGCTTTGTTTTAGAAGATCTGCCCGACGGGTTCCTCGACGGGACAGATGAGGGCTTAGGCTGAGTGACAGCATCTCCTTGGCGATCAGGAATGTCACTTTCGGCAGCATTTTCGATATTACGTTCAGAAGGTGTTGACCGGGAAGGCTCGAATGCTGGTCCCAAAACCACAGGTTTCCTGCGAATAACATGTGCACCGTTTGATCCATTCAGATCGCTCCTCGTAGGGGCGCTGGAGCTCGATTCTCGCAGTTCATCATTTGGGGGTTGAGGCAAGTTAACGACTTTCGGGGAAGAGCCATCGGGGACAGTCAGTTTTAAATTTTCAGGAATATTTGATCGTCGTGGAGATGAAGTTCGCGGAGGTTCTTCAGACATTGACGGGGTTGAGCTTTCTCCCATTATGGCGAACCCTTCTGCAATAAAACACAATGGTCAATGTCAGGGGGTTGCTCTAAAGGAACGGAAATCATGTACGGAGAACTCCAGGGCGAGAAAGGGAGAAATAAAGGAGCCACGTACTAGCGGAGTGGGAAACACGGGAAGGAATAAGGACAGCTTGGCTTATAAGACTGTCATTATGCTCTGAGATGGAAAAGCTCAAAATCTGGCAGAAGAATCTCCAGTGACAGAGAGCTGTTTCGGGGGTTTGGTTCAGACGCGGTGAAATGTTTCCTCAAGAGTTTCCAAGGTTGGGATAAATCTGGAGAGGCTGAACACCCCCCTGTGGATACGGGGGAGGCTTAACCTGCTTAGCTAAGGCACGCTCTTTGGCTAACTAACCAAGCTCGACTGGCTATTCGCTACCTGGCAAAAAGGCCCGCAGCAGTCAAAGATACACTGGACATAGGGCTCACCTAACATCCCGACCATAAATAACTACATAACTAGTTAATTGGTCAACTCATAGTTAAACAGTGAAAATATGGACGGGGGGAGCTGCTGGAGGAAGGGAGTGGAAATAGGTCATTGCGCAGCTCGATCACTATTTCAGATGGAATGAGCCAATTATTACAACGCACTCTCTGCCCTAGATCGACGCTTGTTCCCATGGAACCGTAAATACGTAAATACAATTAACTTGCGCGGTATGTTGTATTTTCACCGTATGCCAACCTTATTTGTGTATTTAAAATGGTCTCGTGACCTCCTGCGAACCTCGGACTTTCAAACAACCACGGAAGTTCGAGTCTTGCCGAGAAAAGAAAATACAACTGCGGCAGACTGGGGTGTATTTTTATTTACTTTTAATATAAAACACAAGATATCTCGAGGTGAGAATGCCTTTTTTTTTTTTTTCCTCGTGGTGGATATGGATGATTATGATCATCCTTATCATACTCTGATTAACAGTTTTGTTCATCTAGAACCCTCCATATCAAGAGAACTTTTTAAAACACTCTGCGTCCTTTCTTCTTTATCGTAGAGGTCGAACTTAGGTAGAACCGTGCTCAATTGACTCCCAACAGCCTCAAATATGGCATCACCAATTGATCCCCTGGTGAAGACGTATCCCATGCCTGCCCCGAAAGTGTCCAAAAAGGTCTTCCCCATCTCCAGCATTCTTTGCGATGTCTATGGCCTGGACGAACTACCCCCACAGGCAACGGAGGTCTCCTGTCTCTACCTCCTGCATCCACGGCTAAGTACCGCAGACCGCATGGAGGGAATCGCCGGGTTTGCCATTACGGATTGGAACGATCGACTACGTGCGGGCCGGGTGCCTTCCAATCAGAAGAATAAGGGGTTGATTGCCGTTGCCTTTGACCAGCGGAACCATGGCTCCAGGCTTGTCGATAAGCTATCGAATGAGGCGTGGAGACAGGGGAATCCTAGACACGCGCAGGATATGTTTGCTACATTTCGTAAGGCTCTCTTTCTTCCATCCCAGCAGTTCAATTGATTTTGTTCTTTGCGTGTGGGAATCTACACAAGAGTTAAAAACCAGACTGAGATGCCATATGCGCCTCGCTGCTCTCCCCGGGGTCTCCACAATTTGACCTTTTTCTCAACCAGACCCACTAACACAGAGAAACACAGAGGGAACCGCCCGGGATGTCTCTCTCCTTATAGATTTTATGGGCGCGTACGTCTTCCCCGATTCCTCACGGAAAATCACCACAAACCTCGCCCTAGGCGTCTCCCTAGGCGGCCACGCAACATGGAGCTGCCTCCTGCACGAGCCCCGCATCACCAGCGCCGTCATCATAATCGGCTGCCCGGATTACATGAATCTAATGACTGAACGTGCCAAACTCTCCAAGCTCTCCACCTGGAAAGACTCCACGCCGCCAGGTTCGCAATTCCTCGGCTCGGGCTCCTTCCCTCAAGCGCTTATTGATGCAATTAGGAGATACGACCCGGCCGGATTGTTCCTAGGCCATGTGAGCCAGCCCTCCGCCGCCGGGATCCTGCGTAGTGGCACCCTTCCTGAACCCACGAAGGCAGAAAAGAGAGTCCTCCGCCCGCTCTTGAAGAGATGTCTGCAAGGGAAAAGAATCCTGCTGATATCTGGGGGGAAGGATAAGTTGGTGCCGTATGCAAGGGGGGAGCCGTTCCTGACATGGTTGAAAAAGGCGATCTCGCCGGGTGGCTGGTTCGCAGATGGCGCTGTGACGTTGGAAGATCTGCTTGATGAGGAGGCGGGGCATGAGGTTACGCCGGTGATGATCGAGCAGTCGATTCGGTTTATTGGGGACAGTCTGGCGGCAGGTCAGGAGAATACACACCCTAAGGTTCGCACTTCGAAGATCTAGGGGATGTGTGTTAGAGCCAGGGGAGTTGAATATTTGCTTGCCTCGTTTTTCAGTGTGCGATATATATACATTGGTCTTAGCATGGGTGTTGTTGGCATTCGGAGAAGTCCCTGTGTACAACCTGTAAATAAGGCAGCAGGGCACTGTCCACGGAAATATGGACAGGGTAGAACCTTGATAGATAATTAGATTGGGAAATTTCTTAATTAGAAATCAGGCGAATATTCAGCCGTCTCCACTATCGCTTGAACCAACTTCCTTCAGCATAGCGTAGGCAAAGACGCAAGATAGAACTTCAAGGCAATGTATTTGAGATCGTTAATAAAAGAGGAGTAAAAGGAAAAAGAGGTTTGTTTAAGGTTTGCAGATGCAACATGATGGAACGAACCCCCAATGCTCCAGCCCAGTACATTCCGACACTGGCATGTAGCAAATAAAAGAAACACTGGCAGTGTTCTCTTTCCGGGGAGAGGGATCCACAGCGCAATTTCGGTATGATTCTTCCTTTTTCCCTATGAGATAGATCATCGACCCCAGCACCGCCAAAGCACTGGGTCTTGGACAAAATAAGAAGAGAAAAAAAAATGCATGCGCTTAAAGTTTCCCTTAACACCCATTATATTTTTTGCATCCAAACCAAAAACAAAATCACGTTGAATACACGGAAACAGCACATCGTTCATCAATCACATTTATGCGACAAGCTCAACAGCGCCACCAGCATCCTTGATCTTCCGCTCAGCCTCCTTGCTGAAATACCGCGCTCGAACAACGACGGGGATCTGTGGGAGTCTACCCTTGCCAAGCACTTTGGAGTAGCCGAGAGGGAGGAGGTCGAGGACGGGGACGGTATCAGCCTTCTTGTTGTTCACGTATGCGTCGCGGGTTTCAGCGGGGACGAGAGACCATAGCTATATTATCCGCAAAAAGTGTTCAATCAGCCTTTCGTCATTTCTTACTCCAATTGCACCTCCAATTCCGATATTTATTTGCTTCATCCGAATCCTATTCCGTATAATTTTTTCTATTCCACTTATTCGCATCCATATAATTCATATTCCCATCCAATTCTTCTTCGTTTCCACCGATCTTCTCCTCTTCTCCAACCCTGACCATCCCACCCCTCTAAGACATAGAAAAATTCAAATAACGTACCTTGTCAAGATTTATTACAGGCTTCCAGAACTGGTTCTGCGTCTTGTGGAAGTATCTCATGCCGACCTTTCCGAAATAACCGGGATGATACTTGTCAAGATTGGTTCGGTGGTGGTGTTGACCACCAGCCATACCGCGACCACCGGGATGCTTGCGGTGCTTGCCAACGCGACCGTAACCGGCCGAAACATGACCGCGGCTAGAGAAATCCCCAAAGAAAAAGGAGGCACAATATTAGCGATCAGAAACGAATGAGTTCTAAATAGGATAAATTGGTAATTGTTGATGTCGTCCAAGTCGTCCTTCAACTCCATCGAACTCCTTTTGGCAGATGGAGAGTGCAGGGCTGGGGGGAAACCAAGAAAAAACTCACCTCTTTCTTGTCTTCGAAAGTCGGGTAGGCATCTCGTCGGTGCTGGATTCGACAAGACTGAGGGTTAATTGGGCGTTGAGATGCGATTTGACTGCGGGTGGTTGTAGGTCTCAAGTCGCTCGGTTCATCGATGTCTCGCTTAACTAATACTGTGTGTCTGCTTGTTTGGGAAATATTAGGGCCAGCCCTGATTTGCTTGGCGCATTGCAGAAACGAGAAATGGAAAATGGGCACGTGATTGTATCAGATAAGATAGGGTATATCCGAACCGCTGTAAGAATGGAATGCATGGCAGGTTGTGCGGATGCAGCATTTTCTCCAGACAAGAAACTATTTGATGCGACTGTGCTTCACAAATTATACAGTTATCATACTTCAAGAAATTCCCATACCTCACCCCGTCGTAGTTGTATCTACCGCGCGCTTCTTACGAAAGAATGCGGAAATATCCCCAATCGTCCTCTCAATCGGCTGCTCAGATGCCGCTGCCACCAAATTCTGTCGAATCCAGTTAGGCAGTTTATTCTGTATACGAGGGGTCCCATATCGCCTATCCATCATGATAATCGCAGCGTAATCATTCTGATGTCTGATCGCCCGTCCAATACACTGATTCACAGTCCTCATACATGAATTCTCATAAAATTCCCTCACTGCAGCTTTGGCCGTCAATTTCCGGCTTTCCTCCGACATCCCCTGGCCATCCTCCCGCTCGTATGTTTTGTGCTCAACGTGCTGGATTTTCGCTTGCCATACCGCGCTGCGGAGGTTGGGAAACGGTAATCCGACCACAATGACACCTCTGCCAAGCCTGTCGGAGAAATTGATTCCTTCTGATAACTTCCCGCCCATGACTGAAAGAAGTAGTGCACCGCCACCAGATCCGGCATTAATTGCGTTGGAATACCCTTGGAGTAGCTCGTCGGTATTTGTAGCCTTGTCTTGAGACTCATGAAACAGCACTTTTGATTTCTGGATGGAATCAAGCACGCTCAACTGGCTGTTCGGGAGGAGCTTCTTCCATATCGTCAATACTTGATTGAGATAATCGTAACTCGGGAAGAAAACTACGACGCCATCTGGAATAACGCGACATAATGCTGCTATGGTTCTACCAAGGCCCATTATCTGCATGGAGTCAGTCATTGATACATAGCTTGTTGCGGGCATGATAAAAGGTAGGATAAGAGGCCTAAGACAATTCTCTCTGCAACTTACCAGGCTTTCGTCGTTTCGTTTCGCATAAGTAAAATCAAACTCTGTATTGAACGCCCCCTTTGTCACAGGCATTGCTGTTAGGTTGTCTGACGGTATGACGTGACCATAGCTATAAGTTCTGAGCCGCTCGGGACTCAAATACGGGAACAAATGGTCTGCGTAATCTTCCATCTGCAGAACCGGAAATGGGATCAGTTAGGTCTATATGTAGCTTGACCAGATGGACCAAAAATAAACTTGGCATACCGGCGACATTGTACCTCCTGCAAGAATAACAGCTCTTGCATCCTCCACGATTTCCCGGAAGTGGTTGGTAGGATCCAATAGTATATATTTCATGAGCACATCATTTTGGGTATTTTCAAAGAACAATTTCCCCTCCGAAGACGGGTTCATCAGTGAAAGCAGGAAGCTTTGTACCTGAAATAAAACAGGGGTTGAGGATCGTTGTGCATTCTTACTCTCCGCTAAGCCTTGTGACTCCGTTGATGAATGTTCAATGAAACCATCAACTTTCCGTGCCAGTTTACTCTTATGAAGATACCGTGAGAGCTTGTGCGGGTTGATTTGGTCAACCCCTTTCCCTGTCATGATGTCAGATGGGCGTAAGACACCTTCAGCAGGCCGATTTCGTTCCAAAACCCTTGTCAGGTATTCGGAAAGAGAGTTCACGAGCCGAATGACCTGCGTGACATACACCCTATTGCTCCCATTTAGGCGGGTTTTGTACTTCCGGGCGTACGTGGTGAGCTGGTACAGAGCTAATTTGAGCTGTGACAGCGACACAGAAACCGAGTGTATGTTAGAAATGGCGTCCATGAGGTTGTGGGCTTCGTCGATAATTACAACATGATGTTTGAGAGAGATGTTCAATGCTTCTCGTGCAGACCTTTGGAGGAGAAGAGGATATGGTAAAGTAATGATCTAAACAAACCTATTAGCTATATTGAGAATATAGAGATTTTCCGCACGCAACAACACACTTACCTCGCTATACTTAACTATGGACCGGGCGGCGTAGTAGGGACACACACCTATTTTAGACCCTACCTTACCGATATCCTCGATGTCCAGCACTTTGGCTAGAGTATGGTCGCGAAAATCATTGACAAGCACTTCATTCTCTTTGTTGGGTACGAATGAGCATTTATGCTCAGCTGGTGTTTCCGGGCGTTGGATCTCCAAACATCTTTCGTTTATAGCTGTTGGGTTACCAAGAGCTCGCACTTTTGGATTGATACAAAGTGTGTTTCTAGACCCGAGGGAGAGATGCTTCAGAGTCTCTCCTAAGCTGTCAATCCCGTTCGACACAGCATCTGCAGCAGCTTTATCGTCATCAACTTCGGGAGGTATACTTGGAGGTAAATTTACTCGCCGGAGCTCATGGGCGAATTGGGTCAGTTGAGAGTGTGTCCTTGAGCAGTAGAAAACCTGAACTTCGTTTTCCTGCTCAATGTCAACATTCGTATCAACAGGACCACCTTTTAGCTTCTCAAGCAAAGCCAGCGTATCCACAGAGAAAATGCCGTCACTTTTCGTCATTGAACTTGCAGCAACTCGTTCATCATCGTCACTATAGTACCCTTCCAGCTCAAACTGACTCTCATCGTGGTCTTGTTTAGAACCATCATTTTCCGCATTCAATCTCTATGGCAAATAGTGTTAGAATCAGCCATCCCCGAGATCCATTAAATTGCAGTCATACCCTTCTTTTATTAGGAAGGTTACCATCCTCGAACTTCTTTCGTTGACGCTCTTCCTCCGCACGCACTTTCGCCAAGCGGTCTTCCAATTGCTTTCTTTTCTCCCTTGCAGACCTTGCTTTTTCTCGCCGTGAATGTTCCAGAATCCATTCCGGCTCCCCGTCAGCTACAGCATAGAACATTAGATTCCAATTCAAATTCCAGCGCGTGTTAAGATGGGGGGCGGGGGGGGGGGGGGGGGGGGGGGCGCTGACAGAGCGACTGGTCAACGGTATTGAGAAAAATCTCGCGCTTATGATCGCGAAGCCATGATAAAGAGCCACATATTAAGCTGAGTGATTTGCCCTACGTAATCGTTTACTGTGTTAGAGGCTGTAATACGCAATCTCTATGTGGAGGTTTGCTGTTGTATTTTATGCAAGATCGATTCAAGACTCTTCTTCAAGCAGCGCTTGGTTAAAAGAAAAAGAAGAGCATTTAGAGACAGAGCATCAGCAGCACACTCATATTGCAGCAAATTTAAAGTCAATTGCATCTTCGTTGAAGATCACAGACAAGCTATGACCTCAGAAATGAACTTTATACATACGGTTCCTAAGGACCTTTGTTAGATCAATATTTCAACTTTTACATTTGTACGGGATGCCACTTTACCTGTGGGTGACTCAAAAATTCCAACCTTACCCTCTTCAATACATTCATACAATGCTTGCATAAACTGAAGCTGTATATCATACGGCGTGAATGGATGGTGGAAGGTGTTTTCAGAAGAGGTCTTTTGGGCCACGGCCATGGCTGACAGCTGGAGATTTATTTCAGCGATGTGCTGCTAGTTAGGTATTTGGTGGCATTGGGCATCGAAATGGCAGAGGAATAAGCCAGCATAACCATCATTGTTACAAAGTCATAGTCTGTTATGCCTTGCAGAGTCCGGAGCGTTGAGATATTTTAGGGTCTTTAAAATGTTTCCGTTCCTTCGACTTGCCAAGACCCCGCCATTTCTACATCTCCATTTTCCTTGCCAGGACAACTGTAAAATTATACGAAATCAACTCAGATCTATATGATCAGTCACCCCATTATTCGCCTCGCCCACCGTTTATTATTGTACTTCGGTTACCCTCCAAGACCTAGAAAGCGTGAGGTAATGTCTGCTGCAAAATATAAGGGGCACGCATTACTCACCACAAAATCTGTAAGATCTACTATTTCTCGAGGTTAAACATGTATGAACAACTTTACAACAGCAGCAGCAGCAGAAAAAGAAAAGGAAAAATCCCCATAGGTATGTATTCATTCAATATATCCAGCATCAATTGGCTTCGTTGCCCTCGCCCTCATTTACAATCGTCAAGTTGGAAGGCCAGCAGCCCAGAAAAACAGTTCCTACTTTACATGCTTCCATTACCATAAGAAAACCCATACAGGTTTGCTCGACAGTAGTGGCTGTATCCAGTATTGGCGGAGATCACGGGTAAACACCTCCCTACATATATAACAAGGACCAGACGCAGGTCAAGCACAAATGCATCAAGCTGGCGGCTAGTATCTTGTGATTCCTTGCTCAAGATAATTCCAGGAAATCTCTAGTTACGTACTGAAGCTCCCAATTAGAGATGTCCTCTGTGCATGAGGCACTGAGATTGTCAGCATTGGGTTCCGAGGCAGACAAAACTGGATATCTCTCTCGGCTGAAGATGTGAAATTGGTCGCTTCGTCATCCCTCATCCCTCATGCACCTTGTACTCTCTCACTTTGCTTTCAAACAATGCGTCCCCCAATAACCTAGCCATTCACAGTACCCCAAAGCACCATTGGCTCCTGTACCACCACAGCTGCACATACTTTGTATGCTTTGGTATATGCAGTGTAGTGGTCTGGGACGTCACTCCCGATGACCATTTCTGTTCTGGTGCTTTGATGGAAAAGACAAAAGTGGCATTGGCAGGCGTTCGACTGAGAGGATAGCACGCATCTGTCTGTCTGTAGTGGCATTGTGCAGGGTTAAAAGGTGACTATTTTTGATGCAGCGCGTTGTAAACGAGGCAATCGAATTCAACAGTGCTAAATTAGGGAACAGACGCTCTCTCTCTCGTATCTCCTGCTGTTGCCTCAGAACTACGACCGTGGACGTATGAGAAATATGGAACACGGTTTTGACTAAACCTCTCCAAAGGGATGGATGGACGCTGATCCACAGGGTCCTGTAACTAGCAATCATACGAAGACCGCAGTCACGGGCAAAGCGCACTATGAACTATTATTATACTGCGCTGGTTCTCAGCCCGAGCCACCTGAATCAGGGGAGCGAAGCCAATTCCAGCAGTTCCTAATTAATTATTGCTTGGGCGTTCCCGGGAATTCTTGGACCGCCGCTGACAAGCTGCTGGAAAATGCGCAGCCACAGGAACAAAGCTCAGAAGCCACGGCCAGACAAGCTTACGCTGCGTACGGAGTAGGGACTGACAAGGCTGGCAACAGGATTTGACCCCGGTATGTAACTAGTTACAGAGCCTAGCGAAAATGACCATGGAAGGAGAAGCACCTTGGAACAAATTAGACTCACGGACAGGGTGGCAGTGGTACCTACTAACCGCAATGGATCTTCTGCCGTGGCTGTATCTGAAGCAGCCTGAACGCCAACATATGACGATATGAATATCAAACTCCGGCGCGCTGCTGTTAACTTGTCATTCCTCAAGTACCAATTCACTGCTGCTGTTGACGTTGGTATATATAATAACTATTTGATAGAAGACAGATAGCTATCTAGAAGCGTGCTGAACAGACTTTTTTCAAAGGTTAGTAATAAATTAATTAAAACCTAATACAGAAAAAAACAAATAGAAAACGAACTTGGGCTGGAATACCTGGCCTCCCCACCCAAGCGGAATCCCCACCCCTAACCTTGGTCAGACGCTGAACAGACGCCCAACCCGGAAGATTTCTTTTTAAATGAATTATCCATGAATTATTGCCAATAGATCCTGCACGCCTCTGACTGGTCCCACATGCAGCAAGGAGCTGACCGCGAAATACATTTTTTATATTGTATCGAGTTCACAATTCAACAGCAGCCGACATAGCAAAGCGGTGGGCATCTGAATCCCCTATTGCTATTATTATCACCATTTCAAACACTTGGTTTTGATTATCCCAAACTATTTGCCTCATATAAGGCACGGTTTCGGCGTTGTTAAGTTAGCGGGTCGAGCGCGGCTTACCAACATCCGCCAGTTTCTTCAATCGCTTTAATATAGTTTATCTTCCCCTGGTCAAAACAACTTCCCCACCACCCACCACCACCACCACCACCACCATCACGTCCAACTACAGCGATCACCGACAGAACAGTCCGAGACCCACGAATCCAAGGCTCACTGGGCTCAACACAGCGGGTGTCCACTCCTCGATGACAGATTCACACTGCATATAATCCTCAAATTAGCTGATCTCACGCGGTCAGGGCCTCCTCTCCAAACTCCAAGATCCCCAGCGACAACCCAGCCGGTAACTAGCCAGTCCCCTGCTGGACCTTGGCAGCCAGACTTGGGTGCAGGAAACAAAGAGATTTCTTTCTTTTTTTCCATTTTTTTCTTTTTCCCCTATTATTATTAATTTTTATTCTTAAGCTGTCCCTCCCTCCCTTTTGACGCCATGCCTGTTCACCACCAGTCTTCCAATCCTCGTATGGGCGCAACTTTTTACCCAGGGCATGTCGATGCGTTCCAAATGCCTGAAGTCATCTCCCCAGCACCGCAAAGGTAACTTGAGAACAATGAAAATAAAATTTAAAAAAAAAAACGAGAAGAAGCGTGAAGGAATTATGAATGAGAAAGAGATCCCTTCCCTCCATAATTTCCCCCGACTCTTTTCTTCGTCTCCGTTAGGTACTATTCTGACTTGACCTGTCTTCCTAGGGTTATGCCAGACGTCCCCGAGAACATGCAGGATAACCTTGCCCATCTCGAACAAGAAGCCTACGGTCCAGGAAGCATGGCAAGTCAACGTAACCAATTCGGCCACTATGATTACGAGCAACCACAATCACAACAACAACAACAACAACTGGCGCCACAGCAGCAACAACAATTCCCAAGTCGAACATCGTCGATCGGCGCCCAACAAAACTACCCACAGAATGACCAAGCGTTCTCAGACCCCTATAGCCAGCAGGCCTACGGGCAGCACACGCAATCCACCTCCGAGACTCCCAATTTCTCCCCCTTCCCCGTCCTACGAGATCCTCCTCCCAACGTCCCTCCAACCGATGAGCAACGAGAAGCAAATCTGGAAAGTGGGCGCGTTGCTGTCCTGAGCTCCAATGATCCGGAAATGCAGCTGGCCTGGGCCCAGGACGCCCTCTCCTACGTCGAAGTCGCCATGCAAAACGAAATCCGCATGGCTGTCATCCAGCCCCAGCGACCGCAAACACCGCAGGTGGAGCATCAGGTGAAAACAGACGCGATCAACGTCGTATCCTTCCTGGCTGACCAAGGCCACCCCAGAGCCCTGTTTATCAAAGCGATGTGGCTCGAGTTTGGCAAATTTGGTTTCCGCGTGGATAAGAAAGAGGCTTTCCTATGCTACTCACAAGCGGCGGAGAAGGGACATGCACGGGCAGAATACCGAATAGGTATGCAGTTTGAGAATTCCGGCGAACCACACAAGGCGATTAAACATTATGAACGAGGAGTCGCGCTTGGAGATTCCGCTTCGAACTATGTAAGTACAAACTATATTTGCCGGAGGAGGGAAGGCGCGGAAAGTTTATCAATATGAGGAAATACCTTATTTCTAACAAACATAATCCGTTTTTTAAAATATAGAGACTTGGGATGATGATCCTCTTGGGTCAACATGGTCAGTACCAAGACTTTGCCGCCGGACTGGATCATATTCGATATGCTGCGCAGACGTGCGACGAAAATGCCCCTCAGGGAGCATATGTAAGGCCTACGCTTTTATGAAAATACTCCTCTTCAGTGCCACGCTAATTAAGTTCACTTTGATCTTTGTTTTCTTGGACAGGTATATGGAATGCTATTAGCACGTGAACTTCCCCAGGTCTCTCTTCCCGATGAATATCTTCCTATTGACCTGGAAGCCGCCCGGATGAATATCGAGAAGGCGGCGTACCATGGTTTTGCCAAGGCACAGGTGAAAATGGGAGCTGCCTATGAGCTCTGTCAGCTTGGCTGTGATTTTAACCCCGCTTTATCTCTGCATTATAATGCGCTTGCTGCACGACAGGGTGAACCTGAAGCTGAAATGGCGATCAGCAAATGGTTCCTATGCGGACATGAGGGGCTCTTCGAGAAGAATGACGAGATGGCATATACCTACGCAAAACGGGCTGCTCAGAGTGGCCTTGGAACCGCAGAATTCGCTATGGGCTATTTCCACGAGATTGGAATATACGTTCCTGTAAATATCAAGGAGGCACGGGCGTGGTACGCAAAGGCTGCAGCTAGGGGTAACAAGGATGCCAGCTCCCGGATCGACAGCATATCGCGATCCAAGACTCTGTCGAGAAAGGATCATGAGCGCGTCGCCATTGCACGTATCAAGTCGCAATATGCCTCCCATGGTCGGGCTCAGCGCTACCAAGAACTCCAGAGCGTGCAGCCTATTCAACAAGATACCATCGAGATGCCAGACCCATCACGCATGACCACTTCCAGCACGGACCCCATGCACCAGCACCCCATGTCTGCAGCCCCGTATTCTGACGGACCTAATTCCAGCTACGGCAGCCCACCAAACCAATACAAAAGTCCAAACATGCGCCCCAGCTCGTTCGGAAGCAATCCCAACATCCGCTCCCATTCCGCAAACCTCATGCAGAATCGCAAAGCCTCTGGCGACGGACCGCCACCGCCACATCATCATCAACAACCACAGCAAGGAGCCTACAGACCGCAAACCACGACCCCAAAACTGGACATCGGCTTCTCTGCGCCGCCAGACCCATCCGGTGCGGACCGACGGAGACACCCGCAACGTCCAGATGCCAATGCCCACAATGGTGCTCCACACCCCCACCCACATCAGGGCCCTCGTGGGAACATCCGAGTGGCTTCGTCTCCAATCCCGTCGTCCGGTCAGTACCCGCCCCGCGGCGAATCGAGGCCGCAACAGACCTCCGCTGTGCCGGCTTCGTCGGCTGGACGGCCCGGTCAGCAGGGGCCAGCGGGGCAGAAGCCTGTTTCTGGATTGCCAGGTAAGGGACCGAAGACGTTTGAAGAGATGGGAGTGCCGCAGGGGAAGGGTGATAGTGACTGTGTAAGTTGATACTCCCTTTATTTTGTCGCTCTCGTTTTAAGTTGTGTGTTCTGACAAATTGTATTTCGCTTTCCCGCAGATCGTGATGTGATACCCACCTTTCCCATTTTACTCAGACTTGATATTTATTGGCCGTTTTCTGACCTCTTTCTACTTTGTAATTTTTTTTTTTTTAACTACTTTACTTTTTTGGTTTTTATATATTTGCCGATTTATTTTGCCGTTCTCGCATTAATTATTATTCCTATTCATTTTCCCTTTTTTTTTAGAGCCGGCACAGCGATGTGGAGTTTTTTTCTGTTTTTTTCTGCTTCCCTTTTTCTTACTTTTGGTTCCCACTTTTCGACAAGTCCGTTCTCCAATCAGAACCTATTTTAATTCGGGTATTTTGTTTCCAAAAAAAAAATATTCTGTGCATATCTCTTCTTTTCCATTTAAGATAGGGGGGGCGGATTCCGCTCCCCTTATCGGCATGCGTAGGCTGTCCGCCTCCTTCCAAACGCCCCACGGTCACATCAGGTCATAGGGAAATGGCCTAGCTATCTATCCGTTTTGAATATTATAACACTCTTCCTTTATTTTTCCCACGTTCCCCTGCCCCCGTTAGTGCATAACACCAAGCTCTTCAAGTTCTGGCCTCTCATGCGCTCTCCCCTTTACCATTGTACAATGACTGGTTTTCGTTTCTCTTTTGGTTTTTGTTTAAACTTTTCCTGGCCTTTGGTTCAATCAGTTTCTCATTTCCTCCTGCCGCCTGCCGTCTCTATATAATCCTTATTTGGACAGAAGAGTGAAGAGGTGGAGAACAACAGAAACATTGTTTTCTTTTTTCCATATAAAGTTTACATCAGGTGTATATGGCCACACGCCACAACGGAGCTGTAAATCGGGTTGGCCCCCCGTTGAAATGCGGTTGGTGGATAGACAGACCCTCTTCATTTGTCTTTTAATTTATTTATTTATTCTTAATACTCTGGTGCTTATTTCCATCTCGAATGGTTCGTTCCACCCATTTTCTCATTCTGGTTCAATATTTCTCGTTTCAATTACTACATCACCCCATGCTTCATTCTGGGCTTCTTTTTGCCTCGTTCATTTTTCCTTCTATACGGCAATTCGTCAAAAAGAAGCAAAATACAACCCTACCATTTCCTCTCTTCCATCTTTACCTATGCGTGCGTCCGTAAACATGTCTTCATTCGCCATTTACCCATATATACCCCATATACATCCTTAGATATACTACGGATATTCCATAGCGGGCTCTGTCCAGTTGTAGCTACAGCCACGTGATCGAGCTCTAAATCTACCTCCCCGGGGAAGTGAAGAGTCTTTCCTGTGTTTCTTCACATCTTCCTCCCTCTTCACTCGCTTTGCATCTCAAATATATACGCTGAGCATGTGCTTACGTTGATCCCAACAAAGCAGATAGACAGCTATCTCTGTCTTTAGGGAGATCATGGCACCACGTAAAGAGAGAGGTGATAGGGATGGCAGAGAGAAAGGGGTGGATGGTAAGTTATACCTACCTATGAGTTTGCTGTAATTGTCATTCCCCAGTTTGCTGCCGCACATCTCGATACATTTCCTCTCCTAATTTCTTCCTCTTCTCCTCACCAAATCACACTATCACTAAATTCTGACTCTCCGAAAGCTAACCGCTGACTTTAGGAGCAACGATGATTCTGGAATACCTTCGTGAGTTCTTGGCTTGCTTTCACTCGGATTGCGGAACTAAATATTAGGATTGGCATTGGTGCTGGGGAGGCGTAGGCCAGCAAAAGTACGTTTTGCCCTGTCTCCCGGTTCTAGCTAGAAGAAGAAGAAGAAGAAGAAGAAGAAGAAGAAAATCAGGTCAAATGCTGACAATGAGAAATAGTCGACCATATTCGGTGAGTGCGATCTAAGCATCCCAATTACTTACGAAACTCCACCCTGCTCGTCCCTCGTTGCCAGCCACAAGCAGAAAATAAGGGGGTTTGGCTATCAGCTAACGTAACAACACAAGGCGATTGATATCACCGCCAACTTACATAACAAAGTGAGCAAAGGTAAGTTAGTATGGGCATATCGTGATATATGCTATCCCGTTTTTGCCCGTATCAGAGCTCTACGTGTCTTTGTAGAAGAGAAAAAATACAATGGGCATGCATATTCTTACTGAATAAAATGGTTTGCGGGGAGCAGCTTACACGGTCAAGGCGTTGAAGGAGATGCATGACAGGAAGGAGATTGAGGGACGAGCTGCAGGTAGGGACATGAATATATTAATATCTCCACCACCGGCCGATGCCCAATCAATAACCGGTGGTAGGCAAACAAATCGTTTACCACGCCCTCCAAGACGCACCTTCAGACTCCACTCCGTCCAAACTCACCGCCCTAGACCAAGAAATCGAGAACCTCCGCGCCCAACTCGCCTCGACAAAAGCAGCTGAAAAATCCCTCCGTTCGGAGCTAGGCACGTTGAATGCGCGGGTATCTACCGGGGAGTTGCGTGGGATTGTGGGTGGGTTGGAGAGGGAGCGGGAGGAGTTGTTGGTTCGTCTCAAGCCATTGAGGGAGAAGGATTGGAAGGGGGAAGGGGCGGGGAGTCAGGTTGTCTCTGCGGAAGAGTTGGCGAGGGTTGGAGGGGAGTGGAGGGTGTGGAAGGGAAGGGTTGTGGGGAGGAAGCGGATATGCAGGGAGATATGGGAGAGGTGTTCGGAGGTTTTGCCGGAGGGGATGAAGGAGAGGGAAGAAGGGAGACAAGAGTTGTGGGAGGGTTTGGGGTTGGAGGGGAGGTTGTAGGTGGGTCGACTAAGCCTTTCCATTCAGCCTGCTGTTACGGACTGCCCGTAACTTGACTCGACTGCACGGGGGATATAACTATAATAGGTATTTCCCTTTTCCTCTTTCCTTTTTTCCCTTGTGTTGCTGTCTAGCAGCCCTTCGATGTTGTTGTCATTGGTGATGGAGCTTTGGTGTGCTCCTGGCATGCTAGCATCTTGTCTAGTTAACACATATCTCACTTGGAATTAGGCAGGTGACAGGTGGTGGTTTAGTGGAGGACGCCGTCTGCGAGATGGGATCAATCATGTGTGGGGGGTGGACTGCAGGGTGGATGATAGCGGGTGTCTGATCAATGATCAGATGGACAGGACCCGTGGAAACGTTACCTATGGAGGAGAGGAGAGGAGAGGATTATAACTATATGGCTGCGGACAGAGAGGGAAGAGTTTGCGAACTCGACTAATCAGCTCCGATCCCAAGAACCGGCTGAAGACATTATTAGCAGTCCCTATACCGAAGGCGGAGTTAGTTGTCTAAGTGGAATAGCGGTAGCCTCCAGAGAATGTGACTTGCAAGAATCAAACATATTATATATGTGCATGCAGTTTATAAACTCATTCCTCATACAGTTATATAGAAGTATTGTTGAGTGATAATCAGCCGTTATTCACAAACTATCTTCATCTCAACATCCTCAACCGAAGTCGCCTGAACAAAACCTCCAGAACAATTCAGTTATCGGTCCAATCTCTTCTCACGCGTGGAATTTTCCATCTGAATAAAATAAACGGACGCCCTTCTTCAGATCTGCCTCATCCAACACACAAACACACACACACACACACACACACACACACACACACACACACACACACACACACACACACACACACACACACACACACATGTACACCCTCTGCTCGGAATAAATAGCAATAAATAGTAACAAAGAGCAGCTAATCGACTGTCGTGGGAACTAAACAGTAGTCATAACCCCTCCAACTTCCCACGGTCCATCTCAAACCCAAATCCAACCCAAATTCTCTGGCCCCTCGCCAATCTCCAACTACCCCAATCACCCATCCATCGCCATCCCCCATCGCTTTTTTTTCCTTCCCTCCTCTCCCTCCTCCGCTCCTCATCTCTACAGCAGCCTAAACCCTCCCTCCATCCCTCTCACCCTGCTTCAGTCGACAACAGTGTGTAGTGTACTCTCTGCTGTATGTACATACATACATCTATCCTCGCCTCCTGCTCATCCTGTCATCCCAGGCCATGCGGCAACACTCTCAACACCCTCCTCCACAGCCTCCTCAACTTTCCCAGCTCCACAGTCGTCTCGCAAACGGAACTCCCTCTCCTCCCCATCCTCATCCCCATCCTCCAGCAGTCCCTCTCCCTTTATCGCTGCCTCTTCCTCCCCCTCCTGCGGCTGCTGCGGCGGCGGCTGCTGCTGCTGCTGCTGCTGTTGCTGCTGCCGGTCATTCTGCTCACCCTCCCCAATCCCGGATGTCAAACGATCTACGCAATCGCACCCCTCTGCCGGTGCCCTCAGGTGCCACGGCGCATGTGCAGAACGGCCATACCCGCAGCATGTCGGCTATCCCGCCCTTCGACATGGCTCGCAGCCCTCCAAATCCGGCTAGCAAGAGTACGGCTTGAGATTATTATTATATATATTTCCACACCTCTCCTTTGTGTCTGTGTCATCGCAAAGATAGATGCCCAAGCTAATATATGAGATGATATGATATTTTTCAGACACCAAACATGTCCCCTGCAAGTTCTTCCGTCAAGGCGCCTGTCAAGCCGGGCCCGCATGCCCGTTCCTGCATTCTACCGACTCTTCCGTCGATTCCGCTCCCTGCAAATACTTTTCAAAGGTACGGGTGTATCCATGCGCATATACAGCTGCTGCTACAGACGGCATATGAATTTTGAAATCCTACAAGGAAATTAAAAAGAAAAGAAAAGAAAGAAAGAAAGAAAGAAAGAAACTGACATGGGTGTAGGGAAATTGCAAATTCGGAGCAAAGTGTGCTCTGGCGCATATATTACCAGATGGACGCCGCGTTAACAGACCTAATATGATGCCCCCAATGGGAATGAGTGGCGGTCATCTCAACCTCGGTGGCCGCGTAAACCCCCAGCAGTACCACACCCAAGACTCCGCCCTCGCAAACTCTTTGCTCTCTCAACAACATGTCAACGGCCACGGACACAGATTTTCTTACCCTTTCCCGGGAGGCCAGGATGATATCTATGGCCACCAACAACCCCAAAACCCCCCCGTTCCCTTCGACGGTGGTATCCCTACAATTGAAGCTGGCTTCGTACCGGATAATGGCTCCAAATATGGTTCTCCCCCCGAAGAACAGAGACTGCCCATGTCCCCAATCGGAAACACTGCGCTCGATGCCCCTCTCCCAGCATCCTTTGATAGCCAAGGAATATCCTACATGGCTCGTCATGGCCCCGTGGCAGCGTCCCTTCCCTCCAAGTTTGGCCTAGATCTCTCCTCACCGCCTTCCCAGCGACCAGGGCCTCCGTCGGACGTCCTTCGGAATCTTCACGATGCTGCGTTTGGTTTAGACTCCCGGAAGCCAGCAAATCTCGGCACATCGCCTCCCGTCATCCTGGATGAAGGGTCAGCACCTCGGTTGATGCATTCCCAGCGTATATCAAGACCAAAGATACTCTCAGCAAGTGTCCCCCGCTCAACCGCCCTGGATGGCTGGGATGACAGCTTCACTCTGGAAGAAGATTACCTACCACCAAATCTCCATGACGACGTATTGACCCCACAGGAGAGAATGAGGCGATTATCCCGAACAGAACAAGACCACGGCAACCTCAGCAGCGCTAGAGATTTCGGCGGCCTGGGTATGCCAAGCGCAGGAACCGGCAGGGTAGGTTCGCCACTGGCCTCGAGCCCGTCCCGCTTCGGCGCAATCTTCGCCAAACAGCGTCAGAGAAAGGAGGAGGAGGGGCAGGGACAAGTCGGTTTCGGCCACGTCGGTTCCCCTCTGCGAGAATCCTCCTTGAATTACCACGCCGCAAGCCCCAGCCCCAACCTCCGCCCCATCGGCAGCCGCCCAACCTCCGGCGACGTATCCCCCTTCATATCCAGCCCGTCCCGCCAATCTTCCATGTCCATTATCTCCCAACAACTCAGCAGCACGTCATTACATCCCAGCTCAGCCCGACATGCCTCGACGGGCAGCAGACTTGATCGCAGCGTGTCATCCCCCGTTAGCACGAGCAGGATTGACGAGGAGCAGAGCGACCTTGTCTTCTCCATGGAGGAGGAAGAGAATAACAAGCGTAATAGCACCGTGTGGAATTCAAGTAATACGGCCGGCAGTGCGGGTCATAATCATAATACTAATGCTAATAAGGCTTCGACGAAGGGCAAGGATGGTTCGACGGCTACGGCGGCGGGACAGTTACGACAAAAGCCGCTGGCACAGCAACAACAGCAGGTACAGGAGAATACACAGGTGGCAGCGATGCAAGGACAGCAAGAGGGTAATAATGGCGGTGCTGACGCTAAAGGGAAGACTCTTCTGAAGGAAATAGAGTCGCTGTATAGTGGTGGGCGGGCGTAAGGCAACAAATATTACCCTTAATGGGAGGAAAAAGTATTCTGTTTAATTCTATCTTTTTTTTTTTTTTGCTTTCTCATTTTTTATTTTTTCTTTCTTATTTTCTATTTTTTCTTCTCTCTTTTTTTTTCCCTCTATTTTTTTTTCTCCATCTTTATATTCCAGCCCACTGTTATAGTCATAATGTAATCCACCACTGGGCGGATCACATCATTGGGCGGATTACCTCCCCACTCCAAGTTCAATAAGTTTCAAATTAAGCAATAACCACTAGGAATTATATATAGAACTTTTATAGGATATGCTCTTAGGCCTGTGAGCAGCCAGGAGGACTATGTTCTATATTGTTACATTTACTACAGCACGCTAATGCTCACTTTCTAGTTCTCAGATTTGAAATTTCAATCTCTCTTTCAACAAGCTGATTGAGCTTCTGAGCTTTAGCAGTTCTAGTTAATTCTTTTTGAATGATTAGAATTCTTTCTTCAATTATATAAATATATTTGATTTTTCTCTCTTTTACTTTCATTTAATATCAATTTTAAGTTTATATTCTTTTTTATTGGTATTTTCTTATCTGTAGATGTAGTCAGAATTAATCTGATTTCAATTAGTGTAAAATATTAATAAGATTTAGAATGACTCATTCAATAAATACTCTGATTAAATATAAGAATATCTATGACTCTTTCATACTTTATCTTAGCTTTCATTTCTCACTAGATGAAAACCTATTAAACATGTAGAGAAAAAAAGCATTTCAACTTTCATTTCTTATCTAGTCAAACATGAAACTTATAAATAAAAAGTTTCTATTAAAAGTACTTATAAAAAAACTATTGATAAAAATTTAAATGATTAAATAGTATTTTACAATATTTTTTTAATTAAAATTTTGATATTTTTTAATTTTTTTTTAAAAAAAAATATAAATAAAATTAAAAGAAATTATAATTAATATATTAAATTTAAAATCAATTCAGTGAACTTTTTATAATTTTATTTATTAAACTTTTAATTTTAATTTATTTTTTTAGCTTTAAAATTAAAGTTTAAATAATTTTTTAAATATTTTTATAATTTTATTAAAAAAAATTTAATATTAATATAAATAATATAAATAATAAATATTTTTATATAAAATTAAAAATTATTTTAAAAAATTTAAATATTAATTATAAATTATTTAAATTTTTATTAATTCTTATAATTAAATTATAGAATATATTAATAAAAATTAAAAAAATATTTTTAATAAATAATATTTATAAATAAAAATATAAATTTAATACTTTTAATATTTTAAATTTAATTAAATTTTTATATAAATATTTAAATTATTAAATAATATTATAAATAGTATAAATCATAATAAATATGTATAATTTTAATAAAAAATATTTAATTATATTTTTAATTTTATTTTAAATTTTTTAATATAATAATAATAATAATAATATATAATAATTAAATTTATTAAATTTTAAAATTTATTAAATTTTAAAATTTATTTAATTTTAAAATTTTAATAAAAAGTAAATATTAATATATTTTATATAGTTTTATATATATTTATTAATTAATACTTAATTTAAACTTTTATCAAACAAGATAAAAAGATTGATTTATGAAATGATTTAATCTATTAGATGATAAATCAGTTAATGACATATTTCTCTTTTTCTCCAGTCTTCAATATACATATTTGTTATTGCATTCATTTCATGTGTCTTCTCATTTCTTCTCTTTTCCCTCAGCTAATGCAATCCTTGTCATCTTAATAATTCACGTAATAGTTACTGGACAAAAACCCGAAACCCAACAAAACGGAAATGCAAGTCTTTCTTTTAACTTACATATATATATATATATATATATATATCATTAGTTCAAATTTCTTCATTAATCCATCTGTTTCAGCTCATCTAACTTTGTCAAGCGTTATGTATAACCGTTTTCATTTCATCACTTGTGTCAAACTCTATACATACTCCGAGTTTCCTTCCGTCGGTCCGTCGGTCCGTCGATCTTCCTGTCCGATTTATACATATATTAGTTATTTCAACATATTCATAGCCCATCATAAATAAATATATAATAATTACTTATTGTCATTCATGCTGTGTTCTTTTCAATAACTTGTATGAATGTCCCAAACCCTTTTTTTAATAACTATTTCATTTTGGTGCAGATTAAGCTGTCTACCTCATCTACCTCTAATCTCATTACAACATTAATGTCTAATCTAATGTCTGTCTACATATATTTCATTCAGCTAGTCATTCATGCACATATATGTAGATAACGTATATTTCCTATGATGTATGGCGTTGTCTATGAAAGAGGCTCCCATACGAATCTCTTCCGCAGCATCTATGTTTTGTTCATGTTTAACTTAGAGAGCGGTGTAAGAGGTCTCGAATGAATCTGTCCAAGACACTTCTTTCATCTGATGTGATATGAGGAAGTATATCGCTCAGCTCTAAGTGTTTAGATGGAGAGAAGCAACTCCACAGAAACGCGGACGGAGAACCCGTGGTCAGTGCATGAGCGAGGAGGAAGCTTATGGAGCCGAAAATTGAAAAGACAACTGTATAAAGAAAACCAAGAAGACGCGTCGACTCAACCCATACCTCTGTCGCTGAAGATCGCAGCTTCAATTCCTCCTCTACATATCTATTGTACAAAAAAGGCAGAACCCGGACACCGAAAAAGGACAAATCCAGAAATCCAGCGTGACGCATTGCAAAAGATGAGAAGGTAAAAAAAAAAAAGAAAACAACAAAAAAGGAATTGCAAGCCCATGTCATATCATACAAGATAACAACCATCACCCGAACAAAATCAACAAAACCCAACAAAAATTCACACACTCATAAATATTCCCCCAGACCCAACAGGCACCGCAACCTCCGGCTCCCTTACACCAAACCTCTCCCTCGCCTTATTTTCCTCCGCCTTCTTCCTCAGCACAGCCTTATACCTCTTCTCATCCGCCGCCTTAACCCTCGCAGCATCCTCCTTCCCATACCGCTCCTCATACCAGTCATTATCAGCCTGCTTCATACCCGCCACAGCCGCCATGACAGCAAGCTCGGAAAGCGTCTTCCTATCCGCCGTGGCTACCGTATCACCATCAGTCTCCTTGTGACGCTTTGCAGCCTCCTCTCTCTCCCTCTCCCTCTCCTTCTTCTCTTCGAGCTGCTCAAGCTTCCTCTTCTCAATCTTCTTCTGCCGCTCCTCCTTTGCCGCCAGGTAACGTAGCGAATGTCCTAATACCGTCTGCTCCACGGGCGGGACGATGTCAAGCGGCGGACTCGTGAAGAAAAGTACACGCCCCTTCTCGTCGCAGTGGAATTGCTTACGTATATCCTCTGGGATTGCCGCATTGGCATTGTCGCTTAGAATGAACGTTTCGACTGGTCGGGGGGCGTTGGAATTGTACATGTTGGGTGGGAGGTGGGGGGCCTGGACTTGATGCATTTGTGGCTGTGGTGGTTGTGTATGGGGGTAGCGGTTGGATTGGTAGGCGGGGAAGTTGTGCGGGGCGGAGTAGGGCTGTGGTGAGATGGGTGGGGGTTGCTGGTAGATTGGGATGGGCTGGGAGGTCTGTGTGGTGAAGGGACCTGGGCAGTGGGTTGGGTATCCGGCTGGGTAGATCGGGGCGGCAGGGGCCGGAGCGACTGTCTGGGGCGTGAAGGGTTGTGGCATCCGCGTTAGCGTGATGGGTGGTGGCGGAGGGACTGTAGCTGTTGCGGGGATATTTGGAACTGATTGGCCTGGAGAGCGGGCTGATAGGGAAGGTAGTGGACTGGCACTCATGCGGTAGTCTCCTTGGCTGTCAATGCTCTGGCGGGTTGGAGGACGGTTTATGGGCATTTGTCGAGGGCCAGCTGCTGGTGCTACGGAAGGAGGTAGAAGCTGTGGAGGAGGTGAAGGAGTGGGTTCTGGGGGTGGCGAGTCCTTAACCAGCAAAAATATTTGTTAGCATCGGATACAAGAGGGCCAAGTTAAAAGGGGAAATTAATTACTTACATTTTCCTCTCTTGGTCTACGATGGACTGCCCCTACAATCGGCGGTGCATTTTCTGCTCCCCAGGTTGGCTTTGGGATATCGTCAGTTTCCTTTGCATCTTCCTTTAAAAGATGCTTGATCGGGCTAGGTATCTTCTTGATTTTCCGAGGTGCGTCGAATAGATCCATCTCGTAGTCCTTCTCCCTAACTTCGTCCGGAAGACAGCTTGCCCAAGTTTTAATTTTGTTGAGTTTATGCTTCTCTTCGTTGTATCGGGCCTCGCAGACGTAAACTTCTTTGTCTGGCGGCAAACCCCTCGGTCTCCCACGGTTGTAGCGGGTGAAGAACATAACGAAGCATCGATCAACGACTTCCCCAATGCGGTGATCTCGATACTGCCCCGTTTTCACGACTTCGTTGGGGTAAAAGTGTTTTTCGAACTGGTGGACAGTTTGTTCCGGGCGGTAGTACCAGCAAGCATTAACCCATTTCTGCCCTTCCGAGTCTTGCCAGGTTCGATATATCTGCGCAACAATTGGTTTTGTCACATCATTGGGGTTTTGGATGTGTACCCAATCACCCACTTTCCAAAGCTCTCCTTTATGCAAGATACCATTTGGTAAGGGCAGGCGTCCATCTTCCATCAGGTACTCGCTGTCCGGTTTCTTCTTCTCCTGCTCAGCCAGTTTATGTGCCTCCGACTGCAACTCGGTAGCATCCTTGTATATCTGACTGTTCGCCTGATTATACGCCTTCGCATTGTTGAACATAAGGTCCATATCCTTCATAAAATGGTCCACGGAGTTGTACTTCTTTCTCTTAGATTTTCTTTTGATGAGATCGATAGCCATGGGATCCTTGATCTCCGAAAAGTAGTCCGGGTAGGCAGCCTTATCGGGGAGCCGCTCGAAATGGCGGACCTTGAGCTGTCCCGAGGAATCCTTGAATTTGCGTATGCCCTTCAAAACAGCTTTGATCCGCGCCTCCATCGGGGTATCAACACGAGGAGGGCGGCCACGCTTTTTTCGTAACTCAGGATCAGTGGCTTTACCGTCGTCTTTCGCGCCAGCCTCTCTCTTAGAGGATCCACGGGCAGGCCGTCTCCGTCTGCGACGGGTGCCTTCATCATCTGAGTCATCAGGTTCATCTTCCTCCTCGTCATCTTCCTCTTCCTCCTCCTCATCTTCTTCGAGGGGTAGTGGGTCTGCCTCCGGAATCTCTCCCAAGTCCGGAAGTTCAGCCGTTTCTGAGGAAATTATTTCTTGTTCGACAAGCTTACGAAATTCAGAAATAAAGACGTCCTAAATTTTTTTTAAAAAAGGGAATATATTAGAGATATGTAAAGAGCATTAAGGCAGGGTGCAATAGCGAACCTTGATAACGAGAGCATCTTCATATGCTTGTGATCTGGGGCGGTTGTATGTCTGCGCATTATGAGGGATCTAGATAAAAAGTTTTAAGTCAGAAAGCTGCAAAGCGCTAGACATATCCGCCATAAGATGAACGAGTAGATAACCACAGGAAAACATACCAATGCGCAGTCTCTTACAAACTCCGCGAAATGAGTGTATGTCTTATTCTTGATCTTTTGTTTCAAAACACTGAGTGCCATGGGCTCTTTGATGACGTCGTAGTAGTCCGGGACATTGCGCTTGTTGACACTGCGATGGAAGAGGCGCGAGGGGTCATGTCCACTATATATTTTGTTAAAATAAGTAAAAAGAATGAGATAGAGAAAACGGCACATAGTATAACATACTCAGGCTCGCGGTAGTCGTAGATGGCCATGACCACATCAAACATTGATTTCCATTGGTCATCCGTGACTTGGTTTGCGGGTGTGGATCCATCATCTGGTTTTGAATCTGGTTCTGTTGATTTAGATGCGGGAAGTGGGGTGGCTGGAGACTGTGAAGGTCCGGATTCGATGTGATCTTCAGCCTGATGGGCCTGCTCTGAGAGTTGCTGGATGAGCGTCATACCTTGATGAACTTCGGCGGTGGGAGCGGGAGAGGGAGCGGAGGCGGAGGTGGGCTGGAACTCCAACCCAGCACTCTGTTCTGTCATGATGCGGAATGGACAGACTCAGACTGAATACGCTAGGATCAGCTGGCAGGATTGATGATACTTGTGAATATGCGCCAGAATAATAGCAACGACTGATCTATGACGCGCGTGGTGTTTTGTCCCTCCTATTTGCGACAGTGCTGAATAAACAAATGATATTTGATATTTTGAAGTTGGCTGATGCAAGGGCCAAGGTGTATCCGGATATATGTTATTCCGCAATGGCATATAAGGCAGCTAAGCGGCTCAGAGTAAGCGATAAGCGATAAGCGATAAGCGACAAGTCGCTGCCAACAAATGATGACGCAGCGATTTGGGAGACAAGACAACTTCAAGAAGGACATACATCATCATCAGTGTAGACAAGACAAGACAACGGCACCTCTCCCCTCTCCACACCCTTTTGTTTTCCACATTGACCCTGCCCACTCCGGGTTTTGCCCTTGTCTGACTTGCTTCAAACTCCTCCATCCCGCATCCTGCATCCCGAGACACCTGGGGTTAACTGCCTGTCTGCCCACCATATTTTTTGTTTATACAGAACCACTGCCTGTCCTTTACAGTACTAAATACTCCACCATCAACTAAAGAGCAAATTGCATCTTCTTCATCTTTCTTTTCTTTTCTTTTCTTTTCTCTTCTTTTTTTTCTTGTTTTTCTTGTTTTTTTATTTTTTATTTTTTTTATATAATACAGGAGACTAGCATAGACCAGCCTCAGTCTGGTCCGGACGATGAGAATCCGCATCCGTGGCCCTGGCGGCCAATCCACCATCTTCCTAGACGAAAACGCAACTATCCGCGACCTTCAAACTGAGATTAATGAGAAAACAGCGTTGGCATCGTATGACATCAAGTACGGCTATCCCCCCAAACCACTGCACCTCGACCAGCTCGACCCGGCTGAATTTGTCAGGGGAATCGGCACAAATCTCAACGGAGAACAACTTATTATTAGCAAGAGGGAGACAGGGCCTGCTGCTGCCGTCACGTCAGCCAGTTCAACACAACAACAAGAACAACAACAACAACAAAAACAAAAAAATCCCGCTTCAAATGTCGCTCTCCCCGGGAATTCAAATAGGCCTGTACAAACTCCGCAGACTGCGCAGACTGCGCAGACCACTCAATCCAAATCAGGCATCCCGAAGCCACTATCATTAACCCGCAAGGAAAACACCACCGTTGAAAACGACCCTCCGGAGATCCCTTCGCCTGACCACAGAGGCACAGTCGTCCTCCGCATCATGCCGGATGACAACTCCTGCCTCTTCCGAGCTGTCAGCAGCGCAGTGATAGGGGCCATGGACGCAGTAACTGAGCTGCGATCGATAATCGCACAGACCATCCAAGAGCAGCCGGAGCTGTATACAGCCGCAGTACTAGAAAAGTCACCAGACGACTACTGCCGCTGGATCCAGACGGAGGACTCGTGGGGTGGAGGGATTGAGTTGAGCATACTCAGCAAACACTTCGATGTCGAGATCTGCTCTATAGACGTGCAGTCGCTGCGCGTCGACCGGTTTAACGAGGGGAGGCCAACACGGTGTATCGTTGTGTATTCGGGAATCCATTATGATACCATTGCCCTTTCACCGTCGGACGAGCCGTATACGCATGCCTATGCGCCGCCGGAGTTCGACACTAAGATATTTGATGCGGTTGATCTTGTCATTCTTGAGCGGGCGGTGGAGCTGTGCCAGATCCTGCAAGCGAAACACTATTTCACAGACACTGCGTCGTTTCGAATCCGGTGTAACATGTGTGGGAGTGAGTTTGTGGGTGAGAGGGGGGCTACGAAGCATGCTACGGAGACTGGGCATTATGACTTTGGGGAAGCGGCTTAGCAGGGCATATAATATATTATTAAAAATGACGCAAATCATATGCATATATATTATCAATGCATGTTAGATTATTACTCCTTTTTAAGTTTCTACGATGAGGAATTCCCATCAGGGACATCATCCATGGTATCCGGGGCTGCTCGTGGCCAAGTGATTGGGTTGGATTCGATTGGGGGTTTTCTTAGCGCTAGCATGGGTGAGCTCGACTGTAGTATGTAGTAAATAAATATTTATTGTTGTTAGATGTTATTTACCTACTTACATACCAGCCAACATATCTATTAATTCGATGTCAATAGAGTTCATCGTTATAGTATTTTTCTTTTTTCTACGTACATATCTCTATAGACGCTCAGAGTTTTGTCCCACTTTCAACTTGTCCCTCGGCAACCGAAAGCTAGAAGCATGCTGTACTGTACTGTTCCGTACCATACACTCAGGGCCCAAATAATTAGCGGCGGGTATTACATCCAATCATTCATGGACCACATAACATTTCAGGCACACCCGTTTCCTTGGACGTTTTAGTTACCGTACATCGATACACAGACCGTACTGATACGTACAGACATACGACGTCACCGCTTTCCGATAAGAAGTATTATTTTTACCCTCAACTTCCAACATCAACGTCAACTTCCACACCTCGACAACAACAACAACTATGGAGGACACATCTATCTATACAGCTCTTGTATACTCTACAACAGCTGCTTACAGCTTATAATATAGAACTTTTAACGAATTCCCTTATCACATATACTGTACTGTACTCCACTGTACATTCCATCTACGTAACACTTGACCCTCGCTGCCTCTTCCGTAACAACCTTGCCCTAACTGCTCGTTACCACCTCATCTATCATCCCTATCCTGCTCAGGCTATCCACGCCCTAAATAATCTCCTTTTTTTCATGGCGTCTTCCTCCTCGGGTGCCTCTTCCGTCTTTGACCCTCCCGAAGCCACATCCTCCATCAGCTCCACCATGGGTAACGACAACGATAGAAGAGCAACGTCCCTAGACAACATCTCAACTGCTCCCGAGAAACCTCCAGATGACTCATCCAAGCTGAAAACTTTCCTGGCGATTCTAAGACAGTGAGTTCCTGGCAAAACCTCTTTGGGTTATATCTTACTCTGGGAAAGGGAGAATAGGGGAAGGAGGCAAAAGGGCTGGCTATACGTTATCCAGCTCCAACTCCAGTAGAGTCCACTACGCCAGATTGCTAATACAATTTCACCTCTTCTATTATATAAAAAACAGGTTCATTGGTGTGTCAGATATTGCTACTGTCCGTTTTTCACTGCCGGCTCAGCTGCTTGAACCAACTCCAAATCTGGGTGAGAGTGACATTTCATAAATTTAACTTTCTTATCTTTCTTGGATACCTTCTCCTACCCCTTGCTCGCCTTATGGTCACTTCTAGAACATGCCCAGCTGACAGACTGCTTGGCCGCTTGACCGATGTATTATTAGAGTACTGGAATTACCTTGATCGACCGGAAACATTCGTCAGGTACGACCCTAATATGCATGTCATTATCTGTGATCCACTGTATGGGAACATATAGCTAATTAACAGTGACAGCATCGGGAAATCTGATGACCACCTTGGTCGGATGCTGGAAGTCTTGCGGTTTTGGTTTACAAAGGATCTCGTGAGTTGTACAATGGGGGAGAGAACACCTTGTCTTGCTGAGTAATTGTCATGCTGAAAAAGGAGGCCTTAGAAATACATCAAAGGCAAACCTTGCAAACCATACAACTCCGCCTTGGGCGAATTTTTCCGGGTGTGTATTTCGACAAGAATGGGATATTTTCTCTTTTTCCCTTTACTTTCCCCCTCGCCTAACACCTGCGGAGATAATAGTGCTAATCACTCAATCCAGTGTAACTGGGAAATAGAAGATACGGAACGCCCAATCACACCTTCAGCACCCAACGGCGGCACTACTACCAGCACTGTCACCGCTAATGACAATGCAGAGCAAGTGAAAATCTCCTATTTAACCGAACAAACCTCACATCACCCTCCGGTGTCTGCCTTCTATGTAGACTGCCCTCAACGAGGCATCACCGCCCGCGGTTTCGATCAGATCAGCGCCAAGTTCACCGGCACTAGCATCCGCGTAACTCCTGGTCAACACAACTTAGGCATATTCGTGACACTGCGGGATCGAGACAATGAAGAATATCAACTCACACATCCTGCAGCACATCTGGGCGGTCTGCTCCGTGGTTCGTTGTCCATCACAGTCGCAGATACCTGTTATATCACCTGTGCCAAGACACGAATAAAAGCCATCCTTCAGTACCTCGATGAGGGTTGGTTAGGGAAAGCACAGAATAGAGTCTCTGGCGTTATCTTCCGCTACGATCCAGAAAATGACAACAAGATCAGGATCAAAGATGTACCTGAGGCGGATATCCTGGCACGAATCGACGGCTGCTGGCATGAGAAGATCTATTACACTCTATTCACCGCGGAAGACAACGGACCTAAAGGAAATGAGAAGAACGAGGGCAAAAGCAAAGAAAGGGGAAAAGAAAAGGACAAACGCCTGCTCCTAATTGACATTGCCCCTCTCTTCCCCATCTCTAAAGTCGTCCCGCCAGCAGACCAACAGCTACCCAATGAATCGCGCAAGTTCTGGTCTAGAGTCACCGCCGCCATCGGCGAGAAGAAGTACAGCCTCGCTACAAAGCTGAAGCAGGAGCTCGAGGAGAATCAGAGGCAGCTGGCTGCTGCAAGGAAGGAGATGAATGAGGAGTGGAAGCCCCGGTTTTTCACTGTGCCTGTTGCATCGTCTGGTAAACCGGAGCTGACGGAGGAAGGGGAGAGGGTGCTGAAGGGCTTGCATGAGGGGGATTTCAGGCTTGAGGGGAGTGGTGGGGTCGATGCATAGAAAAAGGGCTCTTGGGATTATTTGGATTTCTTCTGGTTTTGAATTGGGTTAGTTCGGTACATAAGCTTGTGCATTGCATCATAATGGTAATACAGTACGGTGTTATGGGTGGGTTGGGATGGCGAGAACGAGTAAAATAATAACTTCCATTGTGGGTAGGAGGGTCAAGGGCTTGGGTTATTGTGTTGCTACAACTGACCTGATTGACTTGACTCGAATACGTGCGTACATGCAGTACATACATGTTCGGCGCATGGGCTTCACATTTTTTCCTCAACGGGTTGTTTTTCCTGTCGATTGTTCAATGATTACAATTTCTTTTTATTCCTCTTGTTGTTCCGAGTTTAATACTTTGCGGTTCTACCTTGACATTGCGAGCTTCCTTTCCGTCTCCCCTTAACTTTTTAATTAAATCATCAGTCCATTTCTATCTATCACTTCCATTCAACATGCAATTCTCTTCTATTCCATTCTATGGCTATACCATCCACATCTCCACTATTGATCTTTCTCTAAAACCTTCCCTATATTCCCTGGTATTTGGTTTGTTATATTCGTAGTTGATTAGTTTGGTTTAAACTTTGAACATCTTCTCCATGGATATATATACGTGGATATATACGTGGACATATATACCTGTACAAACATAACGAACCAACGCAAACAAATATGCATCCCATGCATATACAAATTCAGGATTATACAATTTTCGACCACGCACTCACCTACCTTCGAAAAGCAGTCGTCGCCAACAGAGTGTGCAACACTACAAGATATAAAAATCATGAAGCTGTCAATAGTCACGCATATTATAAAGATATGAAAACCAGCAGGAACCCAACATTATTATCCCTCCCTCCCAGCAAATGCCATCATGCCAATTTGAATATATTATCAACCGACCAGCAATACCCTAAAACGCCAACCGTTGTTCGATTTCACACGTGCACCCCATAACGTCCAAAACAACACACAAGAAACACGTATATACTACACCAAAAAATAAAATTAAAAAAAAGGGGGAAACAAGCATGTATAAGAGAAGACGACCTCGAGCAAGAAGAACAGAGATCCAAACCTAAGCGTTCGCTTTGACAACTCTGAACCCAGCGGTAACTGTCTTGGTGATCTCCTCATTTTTATGGGGCAGGAGAGAGAGGGCATAGGCAACGTCGTTCCACTGCCTTTCATTCTCGCACCGGGCCAATCTTGCCGCTAGCTTCTCAGCTAACTGTTTGGCATGTTTATCCTAAAAAGAGAGAAAAAAGAGTTAACATCATAGCCCATCTCTCTCAACAACAAATAGTGGGGTCGAGGGATAGTGTTCCATACCTTTTCAACAAATCCAGCCAAAAATTTAATAATCCTCCGCAGCGCATCTTCCTCCAGTCCCTTCTCTGTGCTCAGCAGACTAAACATATCCACAAAGTGATTGTAGACCGCATTATCCTTCGTAGCCAGCTCAGTAAAGAACATCCGGGCCAAATCGGCAATCCGTTTGTCATCATCCTCAAGACATTTAGCCATCTCGCCCAATTGACCCTTAACTTTCACTTGTCCAGCAAGGATGAGGAATGTCAGTGTCATCAGGCACGTGCGCTTGACAGAGACATCGCCATCATTGAGCCGTCGATAGAGAAAGTCTGTGTTCTCATCGATAAGGTGGTTGAAACAAACAGCCATGTCACCGAGTGCAATGACGGCGTTGCTTCGAACGATGGGGTCTTCCGAACGCTCCATTATCGTAATGAGAAGAGGTAGGTGCTTCTCGCAATATTCGCTGGAGACGCACATAAGTTTAGCCATGCACAAAGTGGCGGCGGCTTGAAGATTGCGGTCGGGGTACGCATTGTTATTGGCACAAATATCAGCTACTAAAGGGCCGAAATTGGTGAGCAATGAGGTCGGTCCGTATAATAACTCGCGTTCACGAATATGAGCCATAGCTTCCGTGAAATCATCTTCCGTTGTGCCACCAATTAGGTCGAGTTCATCGTCTTCCGAAGGTTTATTATCTTTTTGGGGTGCCGGTTCCGCACTCTTGCTCTTTTCCTGCTCAGCCTTCCGACGTTTGAAATCGAGTTCACAAAGTTCAAGATGAACGATTTGTTTGATAGCAATGTGGCCGACTATAAACAGTAATTGGGACAGTGGAACGGAGGAGGTTGTTTTCTTTCTGGGGGTTGGAGGCTCCTCAAAGCCGCTGGAACCTCCACTGCTTTGGGATGAACGGGGTCGTACATGAGCCGAAAAAACGAACCTGGTTTTCCTGCGTAGGATTTCGGAGCAAAGGACATCGGGGTGTTTTGAGAGGGCATATATGGCTCCGATTGCATGTTCTGCCACACCATACCACTCCTTGCTGTCCGAGTCGATCTCTATCATTGCTGCCAGTTTGGTAACAACAGCATGATCATTTGGCAATTTAGAAGACGGAATGTCCTTCGACTTTGCCTGTCGACCAGGTTTCATTCTTTTCAAAGCAATACAAGTGTACTTTGCGAGAACGAGATCTGCCCTTCCAAGGCCTCCCAAGCCCACACGAAGCATCGCTTCGATCTCTCGCACTACAACCTCTGCGTCAGCAAGTGCAATCATTCCCAGAACAATAATTGCTCCTCTCCTTTGAGTTTTAGAAATCTCCTTCTTCTGGACACTGTACACCTGCCACAGTTTGGCAATAACCAGATCTGATATATGACCAACTTTCATCATCGTACTTAGAAGTTGTTCCAATGAGGTGAGTTCAGCAGGAGTGGCACCAAAAGTAAGACTTATCATGTTGCGTGCGATATAGTTCGCAGCATCGTTGGGACTGAAGGAGTCCGGAGCGTCAAAGAACAAACCCTTGTAACAGTCGATCAAATGGTTTTGGACTCCTTTACCTTCATCGCTGTTCCCTTTGGTCCAGATTAAGCGGAGCATTCGTCGGATGCCTGTTCGAGAGGTCTCAACTTTATAGGCATCGATCATAACGAAGAAGTCCATGGCTTCAATCACTTCACTCTTGTTTCGGGAGGACAGCAACTGTGAAACTATTTGGGAAGCGTGGTGTAGAACTTCAATAAATCGAATTGCTTCAAGGTAATATTTTCTCGTCAGCTGAAGTCGCGCCAGCAGTTCTGAGGTTGCGGCCTCCTCTTCGGCTTTCTTCATTGCGGCCTGTTTCTGTTCCTCAGTCATTCTGGGAGCCTTTGAAGGAGAGTCATCGGGCAGTTGAGTCGCATCATCCAGGAGTTCGCTATCGACGATAGTCGAATCGGCATCATTTCCCAGCCCTGGTGTCTCGGGAGGAGGCCGTAGCCCATTTAGCTCCGCCTCTACGGCCTGTAATCTTGCATCCCACTCCTTATACGAAAGTTGACCTCCATGCATCACGCTGAACGGATGAGTCGAGACCAATTTCGCGAGCAATTTGATTGCATTTCTGCGAACATTACTGCTTTTGTCCTCCAGACTTCTAGCGGCAAACTCAGCTGCGGTTTGTCGCCTTTTGGGGAATTTTTGGTCGAGTTCGGCGAGCTTCATATAAACTTGGATAGCACGGCATCGACAGTATGGATTGATATCCAGAAATCGCTCCTCCAGCACGTCAAAAAATGAATTAATTTGCGTTGTATAATTGTCACTTCGTTCTTCCTGTTTGCTTAAATCCGATATCAAATTGCCGCAGACTTCGATTACGGCACATCGCAAAGTATAAGCCTGAATCATGGTCAGTAAACCGTATTTTCTTCTTGGTTTTTTTTCTTCTTGTTTTACTGTATGAAGGGACGCAAGTAATTAATCACCTCGCTGTCAAGTTGTTTGGCCAACAGAGTCATCTGTTTAATGATCAATCTCGGCGCGAGCTCTGAGAGTCTGATAATAAACGCAGACACTGATTTCGGGCCCTTGGTGTCATTTGAATTGAACTCCTTGTTTCCAAGTTCCCTGTCAAATCTATAAGTAAACAATCAATGTCAATGCCATAAGCGCTCTTCATGTACCTCAATATTTCATCTGACAACTGTGGATAGTCGTACTGCTCCGCGAGGATATGAAGAAATTCCGCCATTGGTTCTGAGAGATGCTCAAAATACGTGAGACTTTGGACAATTGACGTTTGCGCTCCTGGAAGTTGGTTAGACTGAGAAAAAAGGAAATGTAGGGGGGAAACAAGGGATTGAGTTAAAATCCAGATCCTACCAAAAGCATGGCCATGGTGCTTTACAGCAATGCATAGCACTTTAAATGCATGCATTCGAATGGAAATGCTCTTCACTCGTTGTTCGCTTTCTAAAATCAAGTATATTGTCCTGGTAAAGAGGTTGACAAATGTGTCACGATCGGAGGTGGTCACGAAGATCTTCCCCAGCTTTAACTTCAATACTTTACACATAACTTCCATGGCAATCTGGATCTGGGGGGAGGAGTCCCAGTGCTCATCGGTTGAACTGGATTTCGATTTCGATTTTCCGGCCCCGCGCCGCGCTGGGGCCGCAACGGGTGGTTTTTCAGCGAGTTTTGTCTCGACAGCAGATAGCGTCCATTGCAGCAGGAAAGCGTACATTTCCAAAAGTTGCTTGTGGTGCTGAACAGCGTCTGTTTCGTCGGACTCGATGTCATGGTGAATAATATCGGCTTCGACGGCCAGGCCCGAGACGACAAGATCCAGGATCTTGCTGAGGGCCTTTGTCGGGAGCAGGGAAGAGAATCTACAGAGTTTAAAAAGTTCAGAGTCTGGTTCTTGATGATGGTAACTTCGTTGTTCAGAAAGAAGAGAGATTGGTGCACACTTGAGGAGAAATTGCAAAGAGTCGAAGAAGCTACTTCTTGCGAGGCCTTCTGGGTTTTCAGCGACCGCGTCGACAACGGGATTGAGAACCCCGTTGATCAAGGGCGTTGTCAGCGATTCGGGATCATTTTCGCAGTCCAGAAGTTCAGGATCTGCTTCTGGGGTGGGTACGGAGGTGGGGTCGCTCAGGTAGTATTTCAGAGACTCGTTTATGTCGAAATCCATGGTGTCATCACTCCATATAAAAGGTGTAGCAGTAGAATGCACGCGAGAAGAGGACGCAGGACGGAAAAGGGGAGAATTCCGCGAGATCGAAAACACAGAGAACGGGGAAGGTGGTTGATCCCAGTCCCGGTCCCGGTCCCGACCCTGGTGGTGATGAAATTGAGAGTGAGATTGAGATTTTTTTTCCTTTCGAAGTTGACGTTGAGGTTGAAGAGGCTGATCAGAGTCGGATGTGGTGTTTTGTTTGTGTTTTGCCACTTTGGGCGGTCCCAGGCGGCGCTGTTTTTTGCCCGCCATTAGGCGTACCAATGGAAACGCGGTCCCTACAACCAAGCAGTTAGTTAGTGGTCAGTTCTGGGATAAGGAATTTACTGCAATGCCGTAGCTCAGCCTCACGAAACACATCTACAGACTTTAAAAAGACATGTTCTCTTTTTTTTATATTTATTTTGGTTTTCCTTTTTTGCTTCGGGTGGACTGAGGAATAATTCGCGGCGGCAGCTGCTCTTGACTGTTTGGCTGTGTGTAATTATTCTCGCGGGGGGCAACCTGTATGTATGGACGCTGTATGATAATTACCACTTTCTCCTAATACGGCGCCTGTCCAATGCTGCTTTTACGCTGGGTATCACAGTTTGTTCCTTTGGCCGTCGAACCAGCAAAAAACGGGTTGAAACAAACTGCGGCCAAACGACGAAGGGCAAAGACAACATGGATAAGTTGGACGCGACATTTGGGGCGCGACAGACAACAAATATAAACAAGGTGGGAGGAAATTGAAGAAACTGCTCTCAGCCTGGTGACTGCCATTGATACCGCACTACTCCACAGCCAGGAAGATTCTATTTTTCTCTCTGAGCCAATAGTACATACAATACAAGTACATAGTTACCAAAGATATTTGGGCACTTGGGCGCAGCGCAGGCTGTCAAATTATATCCGATCGTGCAACTCTCTTCCAAGCGCCTCGATATGACCACTCCCCACTATCCTGTTGACCAATTCACCACAGGTGGAATGCTGAACATGGCTGGAGAAGGGGAAGATGATCGTCGCTCCTTTGACACTGAATCTGGCGAAAAGGGTATCCCGACGGATGAGGACACTCGCAGCGTAGGGACCGAGGAGCAGTCGGATCTTTCTGAGGACAGTGAACTGGATGAACCCTACGAGTCTGTGGCGGAAGATATGAGAAAGCTAGAGAGCACTTTCAAGGGTATCTCCAGCAGGTATCGACTGATCAATCGCACGGGGGAGGGTTGGTAACGCCCCAGATACAAGAAAATATTCTATACCTTTGTGCAAACTTCCCAAATATGCCCGCCAGTGCTGACATTTCTTAAAGGGACGTTCTCCACGGTCTACAAAGCCGAAGATCTTTTATATGATCAATATGAGAATGACTGGGACTGGGAACACAAGCTGGATGAGCAAGATCATGACAGAGACATGGACCCATCTGACAAACCCAGATCCAAATCGAATCGCAGGGGTAAACGGAGGCGACACTATGTTGCGTTGAAAAAGATCTACGTCACGAGCAGCCCAAGCAGAATCCAAAACGAACTTGAGCTTCTGAACAACCTTTACGGCAGCCGTTCTGTGTGTCCTCTCATCACGGCTTTTCGACACCTCGACCAGGTAATCGCAGTCCTGCCCTACTTCCCCCACACCGATTTTCGAGTTCAATACCGCACATTCCTCGTCTCTGATATGCGTCATTACTTTCGCTCTCTCTTTTCCGCCCTCCATGCCGTTCACAAAGCAGACATAATCCACCGGGACATCAAACCAACGTGAGTGATTGTTGGATCTACAATTTATTCAACACCAACCTTCCCGTTGCTCACAACATTTTTTCCAGGAATTTCTTATATAACCCAAAGCTTCGACGGGGTGTTCTGGTTGATTTCGGCCTCGCAGAGGTAAGCTATTTTATGTGGGTATTACTGCCAGAGATATTTGTGCACATGCTAAAAGGAAATCCTCAACCTCTCATCAACTAGCGCGAATACGTTGGCGGCGAACTGTGTCACTGCGCGCAGAATTCCACAGCAAGCAGATATCGCGCCATGTGGCTCCAGAACAGTGTGCAGTCAAACACAATGTCGACGGGCTATCCCAAAAACGACTCGCGCCCCTCCCGACGTGCAAATCGGGCGGGAACCAGGGGTTTCCGCGCGCCCGAGGTTTTGTTCAAATGCACATCACAAACGACAAAAATCGACATCTGGTCCGCGGGAGTCATCCTGCTGACCCTCCTCGGCCGACGATTTCCCTTCTTCAATTCCGCAGACGACATAGATGCCATGATTGAGATTGCGAGCATATTCGGGGCGCGCCGCATGAGAGCTGCCGCAGCACTGCACGGACAAGTCTTCGAAACCACCATCCCCACCATCGGTGAGAAGGGCTACTCCTGGGAAAAGATAGTGCTGTGGTCAAGCTGCGTGGAGCAACTCACAGAAAGCGAAAAGCAGGCAACCCGGTTTCTCTCAACGCTCCTGGAACTGAACCCGAGTAAACGGCCCACTGCTAAAGAGGCTCTGCGCCATGAATTTTTCACTCATCCCGAAACGGAGGACTTGCCCTGGGAAGATAATGGGGATAGAGAGGGTGATGATCGAGCTCCTGAAAAGAATAAGGAGCAGGTAACTGAAGACCAGCGGCAACGGCAACAGCAGCAAGAGCAGCAGCAGCAGGAGCAGCAGGAGCAGGAGGAGGAGGAGGAGGAGGAGGAGGAGGAGGAAGAGGCAGTTGAGCCAGCTGACGAAATGCAATTGGTGTAATGTTATTGTGTGTATATATATATTATTCCTTCGGTTCGGAAGCTTTTCAGGGAGTAAATGGCTGTGGGACAAGAGGCGGGGCGGGGGTCGTCATTTATTTATCACAAAGCATTGTGCGGGTAGAGACAGCAAAGTGCTCATTGTTTTTAATGTGAACATCATGATCTATTTCTTATTTGTGTATGTTTCTCCTTTTGACAGTTCATGCCATACTTTACTTGTCCCCTCTTCTTCGTTTGCTTCTTCAGGCTCCGCGTTCTCCATGTGTCTGTCCGTTGTCGCAATCTTCGCCTCTTCCTCCTTAGCCGGAGCCTGACGTCATCGCCCGCAGCTTCCCAGTTCCCCCGCGAAATTCAAACAACTTGAACAATCAACAACCAACCACCCGTCATCACCATCACCACCACCACCACCAGCAGCAGCAGCATCTTTTATACCATATTTCATTTCTTCTCTTCACATCACTACTGCTTTAAAGGCTGCCCGCAGCTCATCCTGGTTGGCCTGTGATAGCTTGATAGGTCTGCAGTCTTTAGGTCCTCTCAATTCTGTGTATCAGTATCTGTCAACCCCGCATACTACAACCGTCCCGTAGATGCTTCATCCACCAGGATAAATCCAATACACCCCCAAAGGCCCGCCTAGCCTCAAAGTGTCTCTCCGGACCATCTATATATTTCTTGCTTTCTTCATTGGCCTCATATCTCTATTCTACGCCACCTCCTTCTCTCAGATCCACCACCTTCAACAAGTCCAGCATATCCACTATCTCTGTAGCACCATCTCTTCCCTCGTACACGCCACTACCGCGCACCGTTTCATCGGGAGATACTTCAATATGGCCTGGCAGAGTTCAGGAAGATCTAACGCGCAGTTGATTAATAATTTGTTCAAGAATGGCCTTATTAAACATGAGAGAGTAAGAGAGGCTATGCTCGCAGTAAGTACCTTCTCTCACTTTTATCTCTCCCTTATCTCTTTGCATGCCTACGTGCATCCATGCATGAAGTCTCAATATATATGGCGCTATCCGTATATTCTCCATGAATCTATACTTGACTAAAAGCTAAACCAAACGGCCCCATCCAGGTCGACCGCGGCGACTACTGCCCCGCAAACCCCTACGCAGACTCCCCCCAAGCAATCGGCTATGCTGCCACAATCTCTGCACCGCACATGCACGTCCATGCCTGCGAATACCTCCTCCCATTCCTGCGTCCAGACTCGCGTGTCCTGGACATAGGCTCCGGCTCCGGCTATCTAACCCACGTCTTTGCAAACCTCATCACTGGCATCTCCACCACCGACACCGCACCTTCAAATGGCACAGTCGTTGGCATCGACCACATACAAGGGCTGGTCGACATGGCCACTATAAATATGGCCAAGTCAGAATCGGGCCTCCAGCTCCTCAACTCTGGTAAAGCGCGCTTTGTCCTTGGCGATGGGAGAAAAGGTTACCCTGAGGGAGGACCCTATGATGCCATTCACGTTGGTGCGGCAGCCGCAGTGATGCACCCAGCCTTAATTGAGCAGCTGCGTGCGCCTGGGAGGATGTTTATCCCCGTGGAATCGGGAGGGGAGAGCGGGATGAGATCCTTTGGCCTTGGTGGCTCACAATATATCTGGGTTGTGGACAAGAAGGAGGATGGGACTGTCGTTAAGGATAAAATTTTTGGTGTTAGTTATGTCCCGTTGACGGATGCCCCGAAGGCAAGGAGGGAGTGATCTTGATTTCCGCTCGTTGTCCTTAAATGGGCTTTTGGTCTTATCCTTATTTTTAATTTTCTTATTGGGCGCCCGGATCTTCCTCTTCTCTTTCTGCTCTTCTTGTTTTGCACGAGTGTTAGCTTCCATTCAGGGTGTAAAATTTTTGGATTTCTTTTCAGAAATTGGAGGAGTTTGTGGAATATTGTGTTTATTTCTATTTTCCCTCAAAGGCAGATGGAGAAAATAGGGAGGCATGATATTGGCACAATGGCCAGATTTGCAGAGGAGTTTCACAAGCGTAATTATTACAACAGGTCAAGGGAGAAAAAGGTGAAGATCATAATCGAAGATTATTCTTATTTCATTGATTCTGAAAATCAAAATCCGATTCCAATTTAGGTTGCCCGCGTCTTTTGCCCCCAAGAAACCACCAATCAATTAGACAGCTATCTAGAAAAGAAATAAAGAAACTGGGACTTGGAACCATTGCCTAGTGTTTCTGTGTTTGATGAAAACGCCTTGTCCCCCACTCCAACGAAAGAACAAAAGGAATACACATGTTTTTAAGACCTAAAACGCCGATTGCACAAAGCTTAATAGCGATATAGGCTGGGAATTTCTCCTCTAAACCAGGTAAAAAATAAAATAAAATATATGAGTGTAGAAAAAGTGAGATTATGTATATACCCTTACTATCCGTAAGGAGTGGAAGCTAGGAAAGCTTCCTGTATGCCATAGCGGGCGATGATTCAGAAAAAGAGATTGTCGTGAATCCAACACAGACGAATGAAAAGACGGAAATGTATATCTTAACCAAATGGGAATCCACCAGGGAAGTTGAACGACCCTCCTTGGAATTTGAAATGATGCGGTCCGCTCCCCTGCTGGAAAAAGAACTGTTGCCCGCCACCACCAGGGCCGAACGGACTGCCCTGGAACGGATGACCTTGCGCCTCAGGATTATTAGGATCATCTCCACGATCGAAACGGGCCCGCAACTCTGGATTTGAAAGGACCTCATATGCCTCGTTGATGGCAGCCATTTTCTTCTCCGCATCCTCCTTGGTAATTCCGTGTGATATCGCTTTATCTGGATGGTGTAGCTTGGTCATCTTGCGATAGGCCCGTTTGATGGTCTTCTCGTCTGCATCGCGGTCGACGCCGAGAACCTTGTAGTAATCCTTCTGTTTCGAGCGTTTGAGGAGGGTCTGGGCCTTTTGGAGAAGGGATTGGAGTTCTTGGATGTTTTCGTGTTGTCCTCGGGCGTGGTTTAGGGTTTTGATTGCTGATTCAAGTTCACCTTCTTCGATTTGAGCCTCAGCTTGCGAGAGGAGGCCATGGATAGAGTTAGGGTTCAGCTCCAAGGCTTCGGTACAGTATTTTCGTGCCTTCTTCGATTTCATCTGTAGATTATTGCAGGTTTAGTTTTTTGTCTCATAAACAGAAGGAGAGCTTTTTTTTAAAAAAAAAAGTACGAACCTGTCTGTATATTTCACAAGTCTTCTCCACCAGATTGTCGTGGAGTAAGTTTGGTGCTTTTGGCTGTATATGTCCAGCTGCGCGAGCAGCCTTCACATCATCTTTTACATCCTGAAGCAGCCCTGGATCGTCTTTGTTTCCCACCAGGAGCTCAGCGGCCTTGCTAAATTTCCTTCCTTCACGAAGGCTCTCGAGGGTAGCCAGCTGCTTCGCAATTTGCTTTTCCCTTCTAAATAGACGACTGCACACCTTAGAGTCCGGATCTGAATGGAGACATTTCCGTATCTGTGTGATCCCCCGCTCCGTATCCGCCAGTGAATAGAAAAGCATGGAGGATATTTGTAGATATGGCTCGACTGAGCCCGGTGACATTAGTAGAACATGAGCCAGGTCACCGATAGCTTCTTGAATTTCTCCTCGCTCAAACCGGCAGTGTGCCCGCAGCTGCCGCAAAGGCAATGATTGAGGCGCTTTCAGGATCGCAACTCCAGATTGAGAGACACAAGCTTCCCAGTCACCTTTCTTCTCCGCAGCCTGAGCCAGGCGGGCTGCTCCTTGGGCTTCGTCCAGCTCCGCAATTTCTGCAGCGGTATTTTTCCCGGCAGCCACCAGATCTTTCTTTGCGGCAGCCCAATCTGCGGATTTCATATTAAGTCGGGCCCGCTGCAAGAGAGCACCTTCGAAGTCGGGTTTGATTTTGAGCACCTCGTTGAAGTCTTGTAAGGCCTTTGCACTCTTCCCGAGGGAAAGGTAGGTGGCCCCACGCTGAAAGATAGTCAAGTAATTTGCAGGGTCTCGTGAAATTGCAGCATCAAAATAGGGCAGCGCATCTTGAGGGGCGCCATTTTTTAGGTGTGTTTTTGCAGTGGAGATGAGGGACGAAAGCGGAGTATCCGACGGGATATCTGATGACTGGAGCCCGTTGGTGGCAGAAATGACAGCAAGGAGAAAAGCAAGGGTCTGGAGTGAGACGATCATGGCGAAGAGTTGAAAGTAGTCATTGAGAAAAAGCGAATGCGCCTAGGGGAAATAAGCCCGAAGGCAAGAGGGAGAGTATGGGTTCTCTAAACCACAAATAGGCAATGGAGAATAAGACAATAGACTCTTGAAAGAGACAGCGTGTGTGAGAGATAGAGAAAATGGGCAGAGGGAATACGGGGGAAGAAGACAAGGCTGGAGTTATCGAAGTTGATAAGGGAAGAGAGAGATATATAGACATAGACGAACGACGATCTGAAGACGAAGCACCGGTAAATAATAGTCTGGCCTTTACGCCTGAACGGTAAAATTACCGGAGGATATGTGAGTCCGGTATTCTATTTTTGTAAGACATGTGATCACGTGCATATAGCCCTAACAGCCCAAAATAGGTAAGAAACTCCGAGAAAGAATTAACCATATACTTACATAGATAATAAGTTATAGTCTACGATCATTCGAGATTTCTATGGAGTACGGAGTATATATCTATATATCTATCTTCTATCTATTACTATACGGGCGTTGGACAATCTGCCTGGGTTAATTCAACCTCGAGTATGTTCAATGTGCCGTGGATATGCTCCAGATGTCTGTCACGGTCTCTGCGCCTGACACAGCAGAGGTCATGGCAGCTCTGCTTTAGTTCCACAGGTATGTCTATTCAAGGGACCATGCTTTTTACTTTACTTGTATACAAGTTAAAATTGAAAATTCAGCCTTGTCTCCGGAAGTATCGATATCTCCCGTCCTCCTTAGCAGGGCGCGATCAATTGCCGATGAGCATGCATCCCTCACTTCAAAACTGGCCGAGAGCTTTAATCCCAAAACCGCAAAACGTGTCGGAGAACTAGCCACCACGGCCACCGCATTAAAAGAATGGGACAAGGCACATGAAGTTAGAATTTTTCAGCACATTGGCAATCCTATGTAAAGTCTCTCCAGCAGAATAATACCTAGCTAACGTCGTCCCCAACCCAAATACATCTAGTCTATCTCAGAACTTAACGCCCTCCTCGAAGACTCATCCACAGACTCTGAACTCCGCTCCCTCGCCCTCGAAGATCTCCAAACAACAATGGCCTCCCTCTCCGTTCTCTCTGAAAACCTCAAACAAGCCCTCATCCCCCGCCACCCATTCGCAGACTTGCCCTGTCTCCTTGAACTCCGCCCTGGTGCCGGCGGTGACGAAGCCGGCATCTTCGCCAACGAACTTCTACGCATGTATACAATGTTCTGTGCCAATCGTGGCCTGCGGGCCACACTGCTGAAGAAAGAGAGTGAAAACGCCGGCGCGAGTGGCGGGTCAGAAGACCGGCTGGCGGAAGCTGTTATGGAAATAGAGACACCGGGCAGCTATGAGACTCTTCGCACGGAGGCGGGTGTGCATCGCGTGCAGAGGGTACCTGCAACGGAGAGTAAAGGGAGGACACATACCAGTGCTGTCAGCGTGGTGATTCTACCCTCTTTCCCTAGAAATGGAGAGGAAGGGGACGGCGAGCTTAATTTTGATGATCCAAATTCCGACTTCTATATTGACCCGCAAGAGGTGAATGTAGAGAAGATGCGCGCGAGCGGTGCTGGTGGACAACACGTTAATAAGACTGAGTCTGCCATACGGTTAACCCATATACCCACTGGTATTGTGGTAGGGATGCAAGATTCGCGGTCGCAGCATGAGAATCGGCGCAAGGCGTGGCAATTGCTCAGGGCTAGGATTGCCCAGCGGCGACGCGAGGCGAGAGAAGAGGAGATGGTCAAGCTGCGTCGGGGCGCTATGGGTGGTGTGGGGAAGATGGGCAGGGGTGATAAGATCCGCACGTACAATTTTGGGCAGAATCGATGTACGGATCATCGGAGTGGGTTGACGCTGCACAACCTGGTGAATATCATGGAGGGAGGTGAGGGTTTAGAGAGGATTATGGCTAGTGTGAGGGGCTGGCTTGTGGATCAGGAGGTTGGTAACGTGTTTGCGGATGAGCAGATGAAGCTGGCGCGGGAGACGCATAAAGCGAAGGAGAATTCCTGAGGATAGGCTGCCATTTTGCCATTTACGCTTTTTACTTTTGGTGTATGATATCTACAATTTTCTCTGCTTTTTCTTGCTCAATCCTCCCTGTAATATAGAATAGGAGACTTCCAACGGACAATTCCCTTGGACTATAAGAACATATAAGAACTGATGATATATAGAATTTAATGCACACAGCTTCCCCCTTCCCCCCAACCACAATTATGGTGTTCAAAAAATTACCAGTTCCACTATGAACTAGTCTATATTCTACATGCAGCCCGCTTTTCAAGACCCAAAGTGACCGAAAAAGGAACTATAATAAACCAATACAATGAAACCAGAATATCTAAATAAATTTCCTCTCTGGATCCAACAGATCCAATCCCTCCATCGTCTTTTCGTACCTGTTCCAAATACAAAATTAGTATTGGATTTCCCTAGACGCCTTGCTCAATGACAAACCAAGAGATTATAGTGAGGAAGCTTACATGGTAAAAACGATACCTCCGCTCATGACCAGGCGTGCCAGACGCGGGAGAGCGCCAGACCAGAACGTTAGGATTCCTTCATTTTTGAGGATGCTTGCCGCGCATGCGAAGCTGTTCTTATAGTTCTTTCGGGCCTCGATGGATTGCATTCTGAAATTCACGTCAGTTCTGGTCAATCGCGCGGGACCCTAACCCCTCATTCTCCAAACTTCACCCAGAAAATATCTCACCTAGTCTTAATCGTATCCAACGGTTGCGTCACATAACTACAGAACGTCAGCCGCCGGGGATCCACACCTTTCGAATTCCAACAGCACACAAAAGGACAAGGGAGGTCATAACAACAACGTACACGGTGATCAACCCCGCCAAACCCCCAATTGCAAACGTACTTGCAGCACCCAACTTCTCACCAGGCGCAACATACCCCTGCGCAAACTGGCGGATGGTGGTATAGCTCCCGAACCGTGTGGCAGAGTTGGCCGCCTGCCGCGCCGTCGTAGGCACAAAGCCCTGGAAGAATCCTCGTATCCCCCGTTCACGGAATATCACCGAGGTGCCATGTAAGAAACCGCGCATGCGTGGGTTGGGGGATTTGCGATCATCAATTCTGTGTAGCGCGTAAAAGGTGGTTATTAGTCCGGAGTATAGGAAGTCGGCGGAGAGGAGGAGATTTGGTTCGTTACGGCAAACAACTAGATTAAGGAAACATAAGATAGGGAGGGGAGAACGTACAATTGCGTCTTGATACTTTCAAACGGCGTAACGGCCAACAGCGACTCCGTAAACCCAGCACCAAAACCCGCGACGACAGTGCGGGGTCCTGATATCTTTCCGTTCTCATCTTGTAATATCGACTTGAAGAAATCAAAAGCAACGAATCCTATAACCAAAAATTAGGCCCACATCCCTGCTACACATAACATATACCCAAGAGGAAGTTTTAGAATCCTCTCCCCCACCCCCCCCCCCCCCAAAAAAAAAAAAAAAAAAAAAAAAAAAAGACTGTAGAGAATGACAGCTTACGGATTCCCGCCTTTAGCGAATTCCCAACGATCAGTGTCGTGCACCCGGCATACCACACCTTGCCAAAAGGTGGCCAAGGAAGCTTCTTCGAATCAGGAAGCCGGCGGTTGAGTTGTGTTCTTGTCTTCGCAACTGTGTGCGATCGTCAGTCCTGGAGCTCTTTATGAGGAGGAGAGATAGTCGGGGTTCATAGAGTGTGTCGGGAGCAGCAAAAACGCCTGGACCTCATACATTCTGCAGGATATGTAATTGCTAAATATATCAGTTAGCTCAATGAATCTCTCTCCTCTACTCAATCTATTTGAAACGGAAATGTAAATATCTTGAGGGAGGGAGCTAGCTGACGTACAAATCTCAACAGCTCCGGCTGTCGAGCCCGCGATAATTGACCGCAAGGCGCTCGGCTGTTAAACAGCGCGTGTTGGAGTTAGCTATTATTCTGAAGCCTCCAAAGAGGGTCAGGCGAAGGGGGGATGGGTAGATTGGAACCTTTGGCCTTCGATCGCTTTCTGAAGTCGCCATGGCAAATATGTACTATTATGACCCGCGAAGGTTTAAATAAATATTCCATAAATACAATCGCTTCGCCTTCTTATGATTCATTCGAGTTAACGGGAAGTCGATGGGGCGGTTTAAGCCAACTTGCGCGGCTATTTTAAGGCGGGCTAACTAGTCAAGGAACGACGTCAAAGAAACTCAAATTACAACAACTGTCATTGAAGTAGATCCTTGACTCTCAACTTTATCCATGGATGAGTCCCAAAATGCTGGATATGGCGTGCCTTATGCCTGGAGTTAAAGTGAAAGGCATGTACAGAGGGGCGGTATGTGACTGGTATGTGACATATATAATAGTGGAAGAATCGAAGTATTGTTTTCGTGTTCCATTTCCTCAGTAACTAGTTATCTATCTTGAGGTGACTATTAAAGTCTAATAAGTTGATTTATCACATTTTTTTTAAAAAAGAAGGATTTATGGAGCTCTATAAAGATTTAAATCTCCAGAACTGGAATTGCAAAGCTTCTTCTCTTTGAAGTTCTATCTATTTTCATAGACATGTGTGATAAGCTCATATGAATGTCTACAAAGGAGTGCATCAAACATGTTGAGAGCTCACACTTAAAACTATGTATGCGTGGAAGATGAATTCCCGCATTTCAAGTCACACATCACAAGTGACATGTTTGAAAGCAACTGTGATGTGGACTTTGCTACAAGAAAATAGATAACCGTCACCTACAAATCATAACCCAAGGAAAGAAGACTCTTGGCAGAGGAGAGACAAGATTTGACATTTTTCACTACCTAGGTAGATGCTTCACATATTGAGAAGGCCTGTACTATACAATCGTTGTAAAGATGTTGGATGAGACTGATAGCACTCCTCATCCATTCCAAGTCCGCCCAATATATATCCACACCTATTGTCTCCCCCGCTGACGGTGGCTTTTTCTTTTTTTTTCCTTTTTTTCCTTTTCTTTTCTTTCTTTTAAACACATCTGTTTAGTTTTTTAATTTCTTTATTTCTTCCATTTGTGCTGTGATCTTTTGAAGGCACTCCGACTGTTGTCTGCGGTCCAGGACATGCGGAATCGACAAATGGTTAGAATCGGTTGTACTCGGATCCGCGGTTGTTGAGCGCGAGGCAAAACTGTCTGATGAGTGTGACTTTGGAAGCCACAACGCATTTCCGCTAGCTCGACGGCCGGGGGGGG